TCATCTCCACATCCTCATAACTCATATTAAGTTAGACAAATGAAGTAACTTCCAAGTTTACAACCCCCCGTCAAAAACGTTTCTTGAGTATATAGAATTTAAAGACGAATCCAAGCTATCGGTAAGAAAACCAAAATATCCATACACGGTGCCTTGCCTAAACAGGTGATTCAAACTTTTTCAGTCGTAACAGTAACGTTGAGATGACAATCGTACTTATCCTTTTCTCTGCTACAGATTGTCTTGACAGAACTCAATATTTGTTAAAAGCACAAACTATAGAACTAAAACATAACAAAAAGACATTCTCATATTTCTCAGAGACATTTCATCAAACACCATGTTCTCACCCAATACATATATGAAATGCATGAAAACAATACGATCAAATTGAAGCAAACAAAACCTCAATATATCAAATCGATCGCGGCCGAAGTTGATGACAGCATCCTGCACGGTCCGGAAATCCCGAGCAAAGTCGAGCCTTTTATCCTCCATCTTCGAACCCTCCGAAAAATCGATGCCGAGACCTTCCATCATACCATCCTCATCCTTCCTCCTATGATCGAAGTAATTCTGCTGCACAAGCCTCTCCATCAACTCTATCCACTCCGCCCACGGGTGCACCAACTCCACCTCCTTCTTCACATCACCACTCCCCAAAAAAGATTCACTCTTAACCAATTCCGACTTCAAATCCTCCATCGCGTCCGGTTCGGCCCGGGTCGGAGCCGGGTCGGAACTGGGGTTGTTGATTTGTTTCTTGGATTCACGCCAAGCGCGGATTCGCTGGAGGGTTTCGTCTTTTTCTTCGTGTTTTTTATCGATTTCGTCGATTTGTTCGAAAATGAAGCTCATGCGAGCGGAGAGTGAGGTGGGTTTGGGGGTGGGAGGGGGCTGGTGAGTCGACTCGGCCGAGTTGGAGAGCGAAGAGAAGTACGCTCTGATTGGAAATTGGGAGAGGAGACGAAGGGAGAAGATTTCTGAACATTTGAGGCGCCGCAGAAGAAGATTTGAGAGTGCCATTTTTTCTTTGAAGGGAGAAGGAATCAAAAAACTAAAACCCCGCCATGGGAGGAGAGACTGATGAAAAAGGAGCAGAGTCTGCGAGAGTGTGCATAAACCCCTGCGAAGGTGCAAAATCTTTTTCAATAAATTATAAATTACTACATTTTGCCCTTTTACCCTTCAATTTTTTAGGGGAAGACATTAAAGCCCTAAACTATAGTTTACTTAACAGTTCAGTCCCTCGTTGAATAAAGTGGCTCTCTTCCCACACCCCAATTTTGAAAAATTCTTAGACAGATCCCTATGCACTAGACACGGCCCCGGGTCGGGTCGGGTCCGGGTCCGGGTCGGACCCGCCGGGTCCGGGTCCGAGTTTTGGAGGACCCGAAACCGACCCGCGGGGAGGCGGGTCCGGGTCCGGGGCGGGTCCACTCGGGTCCACCCGGGTCCGGGTCGGTTCCGGGTCGGGCCGGGTCCGAACCGGATTTTGAAACTTTTTCCAAAATATGCTTCAAATGGGGTTCGAACCTGGGTTGTAACGCACTTGAAACGGAATCCGAACCACTGTGACAAGATAAATATTTGGTTAATTACTTGCAAGAAATATAAATATACCATATAAACACAGTATAATATTTGGTTAACAAACATCATTTATATTTTTAAATAATTATCTTATAATAAAATCCTCAATAATATTAATAAGTTCTTGTCAATAATTGAGGTAAATCGATTTAAATTAATTGAAATGAGTTATAATCTATTTTTTTAAATAAACATATTATTTTATTTTTCAATCGATTTTTTCACACTATCGATTTTAATAACATAAGTTAATTTGTAATAAGTCAACGCATTTGTTTATATATTGAATTGATTCAATACTTTATATTTTTCAATAGTGGAGATTATATTGATATAGTAATTAATAATAGATGTTTTGATGTATTGAACCGTGATTCTATATATTTTTTTAAAAGTTTCTTATATTGCATTTGTTAATTATTTAATTAAAATTATTTAATAATAATTAATATGAGAAATGTTTCATAATTTCAAAACTAAAAAAAATTTCAAAATTCAATCTTTCTTTTAAATTAAATCGTAATTATTTATATATGCATTTGTTATTAGGGGAGATTTTTAAATATATATGTATTTGTTATTAGGTGAGATTTTTAATATTAAAGATAACGAACCTGACAATTAATAATTTATTAACATTAGTTATTCAATTGTTATAATTATTTTATAGTATTATTTATAATTATATATTTATAGTTAAGATTAATATTGCAATAAGTTACTTTGCCCGAGTGGTTAGTGTTCACTAATCCACTCGGGTTACCCGGGTTCGAAATCCAGAAGCTGCATTTTGGTGATTATTTCATCAGAAATCCGGGTGGACCCAACGGGTCCTCGGGCCGGGCCCTCGGGTCCGGGTCTTCGGGTCCACCCGCCGGGTAGACCCGGCGGGTCTCGGGTCCAAGAAGTCGGGACCCGAAACCGACCCATACTTGGCCGGGTCCGGGTCCATGGTCAACGGGTCGGGGCCGGGGCGGGGCGGGGCAGTCAATGGGTCGGGTCCGGGCCGGGTCCGGGTCAGACCCGACCCGTGGCCATGTCTACTATGCACTAGGGGGCTTTTTTGGATGGACAAATGGATGGGATTGGATAGTTAATGTTGGGTTAAAATGTTGATGAGTAACACTAATCATCAGTGGCGAGGGCAGAAATTTTTGCGAGGGTGGACTTAAATATATTGGGGGTTCAGGTCCAGCGCCACCGAATTTTTATTTTTATTTTTTGAACTTTTTTTGCATTAAGTAGCACAAAACAAGTGACTAAATATATAATTTAACCAAATAACATAAATCAAACTCTTCCAAGTTGCATTTTAAAATATAATCAAGCAATCTCTTCACCAATTACAACGGGCCCTTGCGAGTTTTCATGTTTTGAAAATTATTCAGTCAATTCTCGCGCAAATGTCTCTTTCAATAAAAACAAGCAAAGCATCACTCAACCATTCATCATTCCTCCGGATGTGCAATCTACTATTTATGATACTCATGGTTGAAGATGCCATTTCGAATTTAGCAACAACAATCGACAACTTTAATGACAAAGTCAAATTCAAGTAAATCAAAGGATACACCTTGTTTCTCCTAGTTTGTACCATTTTACGAGCAAGATCACTAATTTCATTCAACCCATGTAATTCACTACTTAAGCGCATATCAACAATGTAAGTATCCAACTGATCATTGAGCTCACATTTGTTGTGTTCGGTGAAGTCTTGTGGATAAAAATCAACAAGACGAAGTAATTTGTCCTTGTCAAAGTGAGAAAATGAGTTAGATGGGTCAAGGCTAGCAATGCACACAAGAAATTCCATAGTCGAATCAGAGAATCGAGCATTTAGGTCTCCAAGTTGCATATCCAAAATAGTGTAAAATGTCTCAACCTTATTGATACAATCCTGACAAGCTACTCCAGGGTGAAGAATTGGATTGGAAGAAGCTAAAGTGTACGAGTTTAAAGAATTTATTTGAGTTGTCCTTGAAGAATAAAGGCTTGAATCAGACCTTTGAAGAGTCATTGATGTGGAATTGGAACAAAAAACAAAAAGAGCAAATAATTCATTGAAAAAATCGAATTCCATGCATCCGAGATTCTCGCCTATCTCTGGCAATTTTACCATTATAGTTATAACTCTCTCATATGATGTCCGATTAATATGATTCAAATTGCTGAGGAAATCAAATCCAACTGAGAGTTCTACAACTGTCATGTTTTGAGCGGAGAGATAGATTCAAAGCGGCACAATGTCTTAATCCAGCTTGAAGTGCATGCACGTGCACAACCCAACGTCTACGTGAGTTTAGAAGGGTAGATAAATATTAAAACATGCAAGACAATTAGCATGTTCGGGAATATAAGTGAAAATTCAAATACGGCATTTGGAACACAAGAGGGTGCTAAATAAAACGTCATGCTCATATTTAATAAAACCTTTTGTTCTGGGAGTGACATTACGGATAGAAGTTACGCATATCTCAATCGATCATGCAGTTCGATGTGCCAAATATACGTATTTGTACATTTACGACCCATGGACTCATAATATGTCTGACTATAATGATTCAAGAGTCCAAAAACCCGATTTACGGTAATACGTTTACCCATGGTGACACATACATATGTGGTATAATTGTCATACCTTAAAGAAAACGTACACATACTTTGTACGGAAAAATCACATACGTTCATCTGTATTGTCTCGCACGTTAATGTTACAATTATTTTTAGTTAATTTAATTTTTAATTTTTGAACTAATAATTAACCCTCTAATGGGTCTTAACATGTTTGGAACATTTTCGGAATCAGTGGGAAATAAATTGCGGCATTTGGAGCACAAGATAGTACCGAATAGCATGTCCTACTCATATTGAGTAGAATGTGTTGATGTAGAAGTGACATTACGGATAGAAATTGCGCATATATCGGCCGATCATGCAATTCCATGTGCCTAATATACGTATTTGAACAGATTACGGCCCATGGACTCATAATATGTCAGAATATGACGATTCAAGGGTCCAAAAACCTGATTCAAGGTAATACGTTCACCCATGGTGACGCATACATATGTGGAACAACTGTCATACCTTAAGGAAAACGTGCAAATACTTTGTATGTAACAATCACATATGTTCATCTGTATTGATCGCATGTTAATGTTTTAATTATTTTAATTAATTCAGTTTTTAATTCTCTAACTATCCATTTATCCTCTAATGGGTATTAAACATGTCTGGAACATTTCGAAATCAATGGGAACTTAAGTGCAGCATTTGGAGCACAAGAGAGTATCAAATAGCATATCCTACTCATATTGAGTAGAATGTTTTGATGTAGGAGTGACATTACGAAGAGAGGTTGTGCATATATCGATCGAGCATGCATTTCGGTGCATGTAACAAATGTACGTATTTGTATAGATATTACGACCCATGGACTCATAATATGTCAGAATATTATGATTCAAGGGTCCGAAAACCCGATTCACGGTAATACGTTTACCCATGGTGATGCATACATATGTGGTACAATTTTCATACCTTAAAATTAACGTGCACATACTTTGTATGTAACAGTCACATACGTTCATATGTATTATCTCGCACATTGATGCTTTAATTATTCTAATTAATTCAATTTTAATTTTCTAGGTAATCATTAACACTCTAATGGATCTTAAACATATTTGGAACCGATTCGAAATCAAAGGTAACTTAATTGCGGCATTTGGAGCACGAAACGGTGTCAAATTGCATGTACTACCGCTAAGAGTATTAAGTATTGATGTAAGAGTGATATTGTAGATAGAAGTTGTGCATATTTCGATTGAGCATGCATTTCGATGTACCCAATGTACATGTTTGTACTAATTACGACTCATGTACTCATAATATGATCATATAAGGGTCAAAATACCCAAATCGCGGTAATGCATTTTCCATGTTAACACATACATAATAGTTACAACCGGCATACCATAAGGCAAATGCGTACATACATTATAGGCTCCAACCGCATGCGTTGATCTATATTGTCTTGCAAGTTAATGCTTTAATTATTTTAATTAATTTAATTTTTAATTTTCTAACCAATCGTTAACCCTCTAATCGATTTTAAACATGTTTGGAATATTTTTGGAATCAATGGGAACTTAATTGTGGTATTTGGAGCACAAGAGAGTACCAAATAGCATATAAATTGCATATTGAGTAGAAAGTATTGTGGTGTCTTCACATACCAAGGTTCTTGTCTCATTATACGCAACAGATCGCGGTTCCACCCCTTTGATTCCTTTTTTTTGATGTTTCGATCTTGCTTCCGCGTAAGGTACTAGGTCTCGTAACAAGTTTTACAGGGTTTGTATCACTTATAATAATGTAAATTTGTCATTTCTTTTTCATTCTGCTTTATTCGTCCTCGAGCAACATATTTAGCATCCATTTGAGGAACGTCAATTTTGTGTTTCTTACAAAATCCGATTACATTTTCAAACAAAAAATACCACCCACTTTCTCTAAATGATTGAATTTGAATCTCTGACAATTGAATTAATCTCCTTCCATTCACATATATCTTGATATTTCCTTTGAAGTGCTTGAGATAGGTCATTTGTGATCGCCAATACCATTTTCATCAAATGACAAAAGCCTATCAACAATGTCGTGTGCTTTTGTTCGATGACTTGTACTTGAAGCATCGCGACCAATAACTTCAAGTACATCAATTACCACATCAAACATATTGATCAAACTCAACAAAGTGTTGTAATGAGAGCTCCAACGTGTATCACCTGTGTATTTAAAAAAAATTAAAAGGAGAAGTTATGAGACATTCCTAAAAATGGTAAAAAAATATTAAAGCCTAAAAATAATATAACCTGCTCGCTTGAGTCATCGGTTATCTTTTCATATTGATTTTCTCTAAGCAAATCACGACGCTTACATGAAGAACCAACAACATTCAACACTCTTGTAGTAAAATCAAAAAGTGAAGAAATATGAATGTGCTTCTTAATTAGTAACTGCTACTAAAGCTAATTGGAGCTGGTGAGCAAGCCAATGAATATAATATGCACAAGGGTTCTCATTCAAGATGAGTGTTTTTAGGCCATTAATTGACCTCTCATATTACAAGCTCCATTGTAACCTTGACCACAAAATTTAGAGACACTCAATCCATATCAAGCAAAAAAAATATCAATAGTTGCTTTAAGAGTGAAATTACTAGTATCAGTAACATGTTCAACTCCTAAAAATTGCTCAATCAGACTACCAGATTTGTCGACATACCTTACTATTAAGGCCATTTTCTCATTCATTGATATATCCCTTGCTTCATCCATCATTAGACAAAACGTCGAATCACCAATACCACTTATAATATCTTTATTCCAAATGCATTTACAATCTCTTTTTGAATATCTGAAGATGTCATCTTGTGGTTTAATGGAGCATTGTTCAGAGTAACTTCTTTAATATCCAAATTAATTTGGCCAAAGGTTTTCACAAGTTGAATAAAATTTTCTGGATTAGTCGATCTTTCACTTTCATCGTAGCCACGAAATGTTTGTTCTTGTGCTTAGAGATATCGAGCCACCTCAATTGAAGTATTCAAACGCATTTTATAGTTAGCATTTTCTTGATTTGACTGCTTGTGAATATCTGTCTCAATATGTTGATTTTGATTAATCATAAAGCTGCACATTTTCCCCAACTTCATTATGTGCAGTATTAGGATCTCCTATGTAAGTAGATTTTTTTCCTTCCAATTACTAAATCCTTCAGTAACAAAATGATCAACACCCGATTGACCTCCGATATCTGGTGAAACATAATTTTTATGCAGCATCTTTGGATACAATATACTCCAACCAATGCAAGTACTATATTTGGTGAAACAAACGTTATTAAATCGTCTATTTTGGTGGCCATAAACTGTGAGAGAGAATGCGTCGTTATGCGGATGGCAAGGACCTTTTTGCAAATTGCTCTACGAACTCGATCTCGATGATTAACATTATATTGCAAAATACAAGACCTTTGTCCAGGATCTCCGGGAAGATCTTCTAAATTAATCTCTTTGAGTGGTTTATTCGATGGAGATTCATCACCTTCTTGAAGAGGAGGTGCTTTTCTTTTTAAATTTCTCCACATAACTATTTAAAAAAGGAAAAATAAAATATATTAGTACAAAAAATAATAAAGAGTTCGAAACAAGTGTTCAGCTCAAGACAACGAAAATTAAACGAAAAAAGCTCAAAATCCATAAAATATATCATTATGTTGAAGTTTTTAATAAGGCCACGGCTAGTCGCGATACTAGTTCAATAAGTTAAAAATTCTATTTTATTAAGAAATGACAAATATGTCCTATAGTAAAATTACCTTTTGTTTGTTCATGCAAGACCAAATAATAGATCAAGTATTTTGCAAAACAAAAAATTAAAAAAATAAATAAATAAACGCCCCTCTGAAACCTTTTTTCCCCTTCCTCGTCGCCCATGTCAGTCCGCCGCCGGCGCCGCAAGCTTGTCGCTCGACCACCGCTGCCATGAGCCACCTTAAAAAATAAGAAAAAAAAATTAATTGAAATTGTTTATAGTCGAAATCATGATGTCGAAAATATTGTTGCAAATCGACACCTTAGTCGATTTTTTGAAAACCAAATCGACATGTTGGTTATGTCGAGTTTGGTGCCAGAAAATCGACATCAAGATGTCGAAAATATATGGTACAAATAGACACCTTGGTGTCGATTTTTTGGCAACCAAATCGACATGTTGGTTATGTTGAGTTTGGTGCCAGAAAATCGCTACCAAGATGTCGGAAATATATGGTGCAAATTGACACCTTGGTGTCGATTTTTTTGCAACCAAATCGACATGTTGGTTATGTCGATTTTGGTGCCAAAAAAGCGACATCTTAGTGTCGATTGTTAGCTACCAATTTCGACATGTAAATGTCGAACAGGTCTGCGCTAATTTTTTTCTTTCAAAAACGATTTCTACCATAAAATCTTCCATTTTAATGTCTTTTGATTCCATACTTACCCTATTTGTAAGGTTTGTTGTTTTGAGGGTTTTGAATGTTTAGGTTTTGTGGGTTTATGGAGGAGGAAGAAGAAAGATTTTGGTGGGTTTTGGAAGACGGAGAAGATGGTTTGATCTTGTGGTCTTGTGAGTTTTTGTGGTTTTTGAGTTAATGGTATTGCATCATTTTCATTTATCCTCTTTTTTTAATTAGTAAAAGTATTATAGTATTTGTATATTGAAAATTTTGAGTTGGTCTTGCACTTAATAGAATTAATATTGCAAATAGTTGCGGTCTTTTAATCATAATAAAATAAATAATAATAATGTATGAAAAGTGAAAATATATCATTCAACAATTGTTGAAGTCCCCTGTCTTCAATCCTTATTGTCTTCAATTCTTATCTACTGGTGAGCGCCAATCTTCTATCCTCTTTTCTTGCTTTTTCTTTTTCTTATTTTTATTCATCACTCCAATTTTCCAACTCAATCTCCTCATTTGTTTTGTATTTTTCGAACGAGATCGCAGTTTCATGAACGAACTCGAATCACAAATTCTTCAAACATCCACGTCCCACAAAGGATTGGCTTTCTACAATCACCGCGAGCATCTCGTGTTGATAACTTGTTGTAAAATGACGTATCTAATCTAGCTCTTTTGTTTGGTGATTGTGGAAATACATAAGATCATAAATACAAGAATAGAAATACAGAGAAAGTAACAACATAAGAGAGACAATTCTTAGAAAGATAATTATGGTTGTTATTAAGGGAGGGGACGTTCTCCCTTAATTACGGTTGTTATAGATGTAAACTATCATAAGGTACAACAAGGTTACATAAAAGTTACATGGAAGTTATAACCTACATACACCATGGAATGAATTACGAGGATAATGAGAAAATTGAGAATCTCTAATGGTGTGGCGGGAGTTATAAACTCCGAGTGACTCAAAATATATTTCTGTAATTACAACTAAATGTTCAAAATTTGTAGTAAAAATTTACCCGCATAAACTACCAACTACCGAATTTTTACTGTTTTATTTTATGCAACTTTTAATTCCCAAAATATATTTTTGTAATTGCAATTGAATACTTTATTACCAGCAAATGATTACCTCTTTTTTCACCCAAAAAGGCAAAAGCATTCACTTCACTGTGCAAACAAACATCACTCAATCCTTCGATCGTTTTATTATTTCAAAAATAATTACAGTTCCACAAATAATTACAAGCACCCAAAATCAAAATAATTTTATACAACATATATACTGCAAGCAACGCGATCACTTATGCTCCGTTTGGTTCAAGGAGAATAGTGCAACAACAAGGAGGACATCTCCAAAAGAGGTATTTATGTATGTAGTTACATATTTAAGAAGTATAGTCTATATAAGGCACATAAGATAGAGTTAAAACCACTCAACCGCACATTTTGGGTAGAAACCGGTTCTTGTAGCAACTTCCGACACCGACTGCAACTCTTTCTGAACTTTCCTTCTTTCATAGAAAACCGAACATGCCAATGAAATGCATTTCACTCCACTTTCAATACGCCAATCCCCACCCCCACAGTGACGGCATATCTGCAGAAATACGTGATAATAAAAGGAATAAAAAATTAACCATTCTAAATTCCACTAGAAAGATACTTTTTCCATTTTAAGACATTTTACGACATTCGAATTAACTAATGTAATACTTACAGCAGCAAGGTGATGGATATCCTTTTCCAGTTTCGAAGTTCTTCCTATCAAAGCTGTAGCAACAATTGATTCATCCTTGGAACAGTTTGGACAAAGTTGATTTGATCCTCCCTGAACTAACTCACCACATACGATACAATGTTTCGATACGTAATAATAATCAATTCTTGTCCTCTGCGGATTTGTCACAAGAGAGTGGCGTTTTCCAACTGCTTCACGCGCCGGACGAGGCATCTCTACAAACCACTGGTTCAGATCAGCTCCAACAAGGCCAAACACTCTCTGTAAAGCTGGGATTATCTGTTTGCTGATGTAATAAACATCGTTTAATCTGAAAGGGGAATTGATGGCAAGTAGTTCAAGTGGGTCCACAACCATATCGACCAAACGAGCCCCAGGTTCACCATGGACCACTACATAAGGTATTCGCTCAGCATAACGAGGTTCTGCCCTTGGATCGGCTTTCAATGTTTTAGTGGCCACAATTGCAGCTGGAGGGAGTGAACTAGTTCGCGTACTGTAAGTACCGAGGCGAACCTCCTTAGCGAAAATAAAATCCTGAAGAGACACCCTGCCAGATAATATCCTTGTCCATTGACGCAGCAAATATGCTTTGACCTGACCAAAGGAAAACAGAAAAAACGTCGTCGACTCAAAGAAGGAATCAAGTTTCAATATGTTTTTAGTAACTATCAGAATTACGTACGTCTATCAAATCAGTGCCACAAATCAGAAGACTCGTTACCTTATCAATATCATGACTTTCAAAATAGGTTCTTAATGACTGCTCCATAGTTTTAGATACAGCTTCACATGTATCTCTTCGCACTGTCTCAATACCCTTAGCATCAAAGACTGGCTTGCTCTGATCGGGACTTTCATAACTATATCCAACATATCGTTTTTTCGTAAGGAGGAAACACGGGTAGTAAACTTTTTCCATTTTTAACGTGACGGGAGTGGGATTCATTTCCGTTATTGCTGATGCAATTTCTCGTCCTATTGTGAAAGCTTCTTTAAGAGAACGCCCTTTAAGGAGTACAAACATGCTGCACCAGACAGAGAAAAAGAATTTCTTAGTCCTATAAAACTAGATAAATGTCCAACAAATACGATTCAACCAAGATGATGTGAGCCCATGCAACCATGCACAAATGATTTATTCAATTCAATTTTCTTCAATTTCGAATCCACTCATTACAGAATTAAAGATCATATCTTCTCAAAATAAACTGATAGATAAAATACACACCTGTCTGTGTCACCGTATATCACTCTAGCTTTCCACTTATCATTTGAGTTTACAAAAGAAATTGCAGCTTCCAGCGTTCTACGGCCACATTGCACAATACTGTCGGCAAGCTCAGCACAAGGCATGCGTCCACTAAATCCAGCAGCTGTGTATCCATAAGTAACATTTGCTATAAGCTTTAAAGCAAGCTGCCGAGCATTAAATATCCTGTGAAGAACCAGCTGAGATGCATCCAATTTTTTCATTGCTTGTTTCACCATAATTCTGGTTGATAATATCTCGTCTAATAGCCTAGGTAGTATCCCTTTCCGAATTTTTGAAGGAACATAGACAACACCATTGGGAGTAATCAGTAGTTCATTTTTCAAATTGTGTAAATTATTAATATCTGGTATGTACGAACTGACACCAAGAGTATTTTCCTTCGGAGGTGCAATCTTTCCTAGGCATGTACAAAAGCAAAGGTTATATGCAATTACCATCGATGGATAAAGCGACTGAAAATCCAAAACAATGACGGGATCTGCATAAAAATTAGATTCCGGCTCCATAACAAGAGGTATGCACTCCATTGCCGGTTGGTTGGCAACTTGGTGGCTTCCAGGGGAAATGGCAAGATAGTTCTGTGTATGTGCTAACCGCAGAAACATTGATTCGACACGACACTGTGAACCTCGAGATAGTACTGAAAAAAAGTCGATACCAAATACTCGAGCAAGTTCTGATGTTCGGTTTATCATATCAAGCTGGTCCATGATTTGCAAATTCAACTTTGCTCTCTCTAATATATAATCAATAGACTTGTACCTTGCTCGTCCAGGACCACTAGAAAACCATTCTGTCAGAACTTCCCAAGGGATACACGGGATTTTTCGCCTCAAAACTGCTTCGGTTACAGCTTCAACACTGTACATATTAAGCTTAACTTCATTCCTCATAAGTCTCCAAATATTAAGCACGATTCTTCCACCTACGTGAAGACCACTGGCGTGTGTTCTTCCCCACTCATCATCAATAATGTTCTCCAAATTGACTGCTTCAGTTGTTACTGATTCAGAAAATATGCCTTTCATCATCTCTTTTTCAGAAGTTTTGGAATCTCCAGAAGCTACTTTTATTTTCGATGGTGTCCTTGATATATTATTTAGCAAACCAATGCCAAGGTGTGCAGCCCTTTCGGCCAAATATCCAAGGGAGCCACTTTGAACATCCCAGCCCATCAGAATATCTGGGTCAGATGCACGGATGACCTTTGTAAAATGGTTAAACAATTGTAGCTCTTCGGTAAAAACAAACAGCTTGGACTCTGAAACAGCATCAAGGTCCTTTTCAACATAATCAAAATCACAACGCAGAAGAATGTGAGTGTCGAGTGCAGATTCTTCATCCTCTTGAATAACAAGAACAATGACGTTGACGGCATCAAATCGAGGGTCGGGTCTTAAATCTCCTCTAGATTCAGCCAGCACCTCTATACTGATCAGCGTTAGTTGCTGCCCTTGACCAACACTTGCTGGATCCCGAAAACCAATTTGACTCAATGGAGTCAGCCTCACCGTTTTATCAGGACCAGATATCTGAGAGATATCTTGCGAGAAGCCAGTTGATATTTTTTTCTTAGCCTCGTTAAGAGTTTTAACTTCCGTATGGCAGTTACCTTGATTAAGCTCGTGTAGTTGATTAAAATCAGACTTTTCTTCATACGAAGCAGAACTGGTCAAAGGGGAATTACTGTCATCAGCCTGAGAACCCTGTGAATCCACTATATCACCAGGGAATCCCTTAGATATCGGGAGAATCGGTGCATCTAGCTTTCGCTCCGAAATATTATCGCAATCAAATGACAACCATCTATCAACAGATTCCCGAGATGGAGGTGAAACTGCAGGGGTCAGCATGAATAAATATGACCCGTCATTCTGATGCATGACAGGAACACCCATTACTAGTTCATGGCTATCAATATGCTCGCAGTTTCTAGGGCTAACACCCTGAAGTTTTTCTTCCTCTTCTAGGGAGTTCGTCGAGAAAAAAGGGAGGCAACCGTCTTCAAATCTTCCCTCAAGAGATGGTCCTACTTTACCGCCCCCATTCCCAGGCAACACATAACCTTCACTCTCAGGCTCATATGTCCAGTCTATAATCGGAGGTTTCTTCGAGAAGGTCATACCAATTAGTTTTACAGTTTCAACGTCATTGTTTATATCTTTTGACGCGTCATAAGACTTGGATAAGTCGAAACTTCTTTCATGATGTGGTGCATTTTCGAACTGCTGGAGTGTTGTTTCCATTCCCATGCCCTTCAAATCCTCAGCCGGAATTTCAGCCAACTTAGACATAGAGATTGAGGTCTGACATCCACTTTCACTAGTATAGTCAGTTCTATTTACAAGGTCACTTGGACCTATATTTGAAGGCACAATACAAGAATCCAAAGCACCTTTTTGCCGAACGTGAAGATTTGCAAGCTTGCAAGAACTGACGTGAAAGTTTGTATCATAATCCATAGAGCTCTGTGAATATTCACCACGACAGCTTTCTCCAGAATCAACTCGTTTGACATGCTCCGGATTCCCATTCATTAACTTATTTCCCACTTCAGTGCTATCCTTGCTAGAGGATAGAGGCAATTCTCCATAAATCGGAAGACGAGAACTGGTTGATTTATTGAGAAGAGCCTCGCACACTTCAACGGTAGATCTCATGTTCCTTGTATTACACGTCGTCCCCTCATCTTTTAAAGGAGGTTTATCAATGGGTGAAAGAAGATCCTTTTTCTCTCCGATGTCACTCAAAAAATCTGTGTCAAGATGTATATCTCCTTTCTCGCACTCAGCATCACAGTACGGTTCTGCTTTAAAATCTTCCACTAGGCTCCCAAACTCAGATATTTCAGTTCGATGAGACCGCTTTCTCCTCATCAAATCTCGTGTAGAGCATTCAAGCATTACCGGTGGAAGTTCTTCTGCTTCCTTCCCAAGCCAAGAAGTTCCTAAACCTTCTTTTTTCTCATTGTCACATCCACTCAAAACGGAAAATGTGTTAGGATGTGAAACATCGCTCGCTTTCTGAGAAGAAATAGGTAAAGAACCCCATCGAGGTCTTTTCCTTCTGTGCTTACAGGTTAAGTTTGAATCTAATTCAGGCCATGACTGAACTCCCACATTTGGGTTTGCTTCACTATTATCTGTTTTGAGCGACTTATTGCAGCAGGGAGTCGACTGAGGATCGTCATTGGAGCCATCCACTTGAGGTATTAAGTTATTCGACATAACTTCTCGAGAATTATTGTGCCCACCATTCAACTCGTCAAAGTTTATCATATCTATAGAATCAAGAATGTCTTGACACTCTTTCTGGGATTCACTCTCATACTCACCATTGGCTCTCTCTAAAACCTTGTTGATGTCTTTTGATGGTACTAAGGGACTTAAATGTGTCTCCCGAGCGAGTTCATCATCAGAGTTGATATCCCCTTCGGCTTGAGAAGATGCAAGCCACTTCAAAAGCCTTAATGCATCTTCATCTGTGTCCTAATAAAAAAATATGTTTCATAAATACTACAATTAGATACACTTGTACACCAAAGGATGAAGATGGAAAACAGAAAAAGAAAAAAAGATAACCCCTAAAAATACAGTGTGACACCATATAAATAAGACCAAGCCAGTCGATATTATAAAGACAAATCATACAACTAAGTTAACTTTAACATAATAAAGACAAATCATACAATTAAAGTTGCTTGAAATAAAAGCAATTACCCTGCTTCCCACGAATGTCAAAACCACATCATTTCACTACTTGACCTAAAAGCTGCCACACAAAACATTGAAGACCCACTACTAGATAGTTAATTCTATTTTACTAATTTGATTTGATTAATATTTGCACTTATACCAAGCACTTAGTACCCCTATTAATTTGATTGATATTCTATTTGGTATTCATCAACTTCGGTAGACTGTTAATTCCAAACAACTCCATGGCCTAATTCAATTTTAATATTCGAAGAAAAAGTAGTGTATTAAGCATCAACATATGGCATACGAGATTCAGGAAAATCTGAAGATACAAGGACTACCTACGAGATGCAAGGGGAGCTTCAAAGTGCAGGGTTATGTATGTCACTAATTCATAAAGAAGAACAGTGAAAGAACTTTGTTTGGGGTCACAGTCTATACAAATTAAGACTCTAAGCATGAATGGTATAAAGGAATATCTTCTCCACAATCTCCCTTATCTCTCTCATTTGAGTCGGAAAAACTAAGTATTACCTTTGCATTCGATGGTCCCATGGTGCAAGATATTTGCAGTTGATCAGCTGTATCAATCTCAATAATTTCTGAGGCCTTAACTTTCTGAAATGGTGAATCTAACAATAATGAAGATCCAATTGTATCACTTGCTTTGAAATATTTGGAAGGCAAATTATTGCTATTCTCGAGGTTAGCAATCCCAGCGTCAACCAAATCTGCACAACCTACAGAAGATTTGATTGATTCTGGAGTCAAATGCGACCAGCTTTCTGCATCATTTTTCACTTCCATAAAATTTTCAAACTCAACTTCATCTGACAGAATCCTCAATACATCTCGCGGACTTGGTTTGTCAGAGTAAGGAGGCACGGCCTCAGGCACACCGTTCCTTTCATATTCTTCCTAGCGTAAAAAGAAACAACTCGTCATTACAGAACATTCAATTCAAATATGCATCCAGTAGAGAATGTGTGAATTGGAAGCCCACCTCCCAAATTGGTACTAGTGACTGAACCATTTTAATATCTGAACGGGTTTGAGAAAGAGGTGCATAAGATGTCGACTGCTGATTTATGATATCTGGACATCAATGTATGATTAATAAAAAAAGTATTAGCCAAAATGGACAAAGGAAAGGACAGCATCAACTTCAAGACAATTATAATAACAAACAAACCGTGTGCTACGGCATCTACTTCCAGCTCAGAGGTACTCTGACGTCTGAAGTGAGAATTATCTTGCCAGATCCACCCATCAGGAATCGTAGAAGATGTCCATATTGGGGTATTCACATACAAATCACCACCTAAATCTGCCTAGAAAAGAAATAACATAGAATAGAATTAATAAAATTTTAAACCGAAAAATCGACCCACTAGAACCTGCAAAAAGAACATCACAAATACCTGAAAATCCATGCAAGCGGATTCATCCGTCAATGGTCTCGTTTTGCCGTTCCACTGAACTTTCGGCTGAAAGAAAACATCTGGAACAGGATACCGAAACTTTATCTTTGAAACATGCAAATGACCCATCCCATACAAATTGTAGTCGATCTGGAAATTGTGAAGTAGATATCAAGTCGCATGAGCTACATATAGGGTGTAAAACCCCTAAGAAAGTTTGGACATTGAAACATCAAATCCACTTCGTTCGTTATAGAAGACCAAATATCATGTGGTGAATGGAGGAACCAACTAGATTATAAGAACACCAGGACATTAAATTCGATAACTAATGATTTGTATGTTTCAGATCCCTACAACCCATGCTTTACCTTATTGCATAGCACCGTTGTTCTTAGATTTGTAAGCAGAAATACATTCAGTTTTCCAAATATTACCCCCCAAAAACTCACATATTATGACGTTACGGGATAGAAATAAACTACCACTAATGAAACTTCTCTCTCCTCTAGATGGTACTTCCAGAAAGAAACTTTGGCTTACTTCTGAGAAAATACTTTATTAACATACTAGACTGGCGACTTGTACACAATTTCTAGAATCCCACTACCATGAACAAATTGCCACTAAAATTCCCATCAATATTTGTAACACTAACATGTCATTTTCAGCCAAAAAAAAGAATATCATCCTTGTAATAAATCATTATTATTCATTACAGTTAAAAATTAGCGTGCAAGTGCTATAACATTGCGAACGATGATGAGCTTTCACACTCATGAAAAAGATGTACATACACCACCAAGGCTTAGCCTAAGTGGTAGGGGTTTCTCCTATTGTGGGGAGAGGTCAGGGGCTCGAATTCATTTGAATGCATGTGATCTAATAGTCACTCATAAATTATAAGGCCAACTTTGTTTTTAAGATGTACATACCAAGAACTGGAGAAGAAAGGGTATATGCGATTCATAAGGCTGTAAAACTTTATCCAATATTGCACCTGTCTACACAAAAAATCAAAAGTGAACGATTAGATACCCTCTAATCTTGGAAATTGTTAGGAAGAAAAACTACTAGACACAAAATTTACCGTAGATAACCAATAAAGGTTTTGGGTTCACAATCACTTGACATGTGGCAATAGAACAAAAAATGCAAGAAATCTAAAAGTATTGCATTTAGGAGAAGCCTATCGCTTAAATATCGTCTGGAAGGAAGAGAGAAACACATATATATTCACAAACACACATAAATACACATGTATACACAACCAGTCACATTTACATACATAGAGAGAGAAGAGAGGGCAGGAGGAACGCATCGAGATACCAAAAAAAAATACCGAAAGGAATGATGACCCAAACATTTTCGACTGTATCATATCAAAACCTGGTGGAAAGTAAGCACTTAAACAGCTCAAGTCATATTTAGAACATGCTCACAATGCAATACATAAATTAGAAAGGTACCAGAAACTACAAGTTTGAATAATACAAACTACTGAAATTAAGAAGCTCAAATATTACCAGAAGAAGATTTGCAGCACGAGAAACATCCTGTGGATGATAGCTGATCTTTATGTCAAGGTGTTCGTTGAAAAAGTCAATTGGCAGTAGATAGAAAGAAAAAAAAGGATAGTGAATCGTAAATTCAATAATGTGAGGAGGACTATAAAAATCAGGATATGCAATAATTATATGTCAATGTAAGTAGAAATCATAAGAAGGGCTATCGACAACAACTTGAAACATAGAGGACTCTATTGATGGTGATAATCTTATCAAGATTGAAGAGTTCAAATGGGAAGGAAGTATAGAATGCCACCGAACTCTAGCAGTAGAAATACTAATTGTTCCCCGTAACATTATTTTTGTGGTGTTTTATACTCTCACATACTTGATAAATATTATCACAAAAGTGTAACACTCACATACTATGTCACCCCTAACGTAGTACTCAGAAAATCAATCAGCATAGTTTTTAACACCCTCGCCTATTGGATGAGAAGAGGAAATAGAAAAGGGATGTGCATAATTACTTCCGTCAGTGCACTATTAGACGTTAAAGGGTTAAAAATCATTACTTCTGGTAACTATATGAAGTTGCAAACTTTGGAAATTGGAAGACAAGTTCCAGAGCCCCGAGGATGTTCTATTTATATAATAAAGGATAATCTACAACAGCAACTTAGGCAGGTAGAAAACGAAAATATCAAGAATTAGGATACAAATAAATCTTCAGAAACAGATCCTCTGAAGAATGATAACCATAAAACTTCTTTGCCCGAACAAGATCGCAACCGTGCACATGTTGACGTTTTGAGCCAACATTACCTTTGAGCTGTCAAAAGTTAAATCCAAATTTTCATGGTATGTTAGTGTGGGTGGGGTAAGCCGTAGAATGGGAAATGGCAAGCAAAAATCAGTGAGGTACCTTCAAAGCCTTCTCAAGGGCAAGAAATATAGTATGTGTTTGTGAATCAACTGCTCAATTACAAGAAAGGAAAAAAGAAATATAAGTCCAAACAAAAAGTACAATACTAAACTTACTTCAACCATTTTTTTAAAAATGGCCGGAGGGGACAAATAAAACAGAACTACAGAACTAACAATTACCAGGTTATCGAGCATATTACGAAATTCATAACAATGACCCCTACAGTTGTAAATTAATATTTTCAAAGAAAAGCAGACAACTTATGCAGTTAACAAGTATTTAACATGGCATACAAAGGTGAATCAAAGAATAGAAATACATATATTTTAAGGCAACGAAGGCTGAAGATATAAATTTTCTTGTATAGGCAAGGTGCAGGTTGGGTTGGAGATGGAGAAGGGGTTCTAACCACACAAAAAAATGATCATCGGATAAAAACCAAATAACACATGTATACCCAGGAAAGGAATTGTAAGCTTCAAAAGGTCTCTTTAAATCGTTGTAAATTTCTAGTCAAGGCAGATTCAAACTCCTTTCTGAAGGAATGTGCTACTCACATAGCCGAGTGTCCTTTCTGAAGAAATGTGCTACTCCGCTACAGTTATTATTTTGGGAAAGGAAAGAGTTTCTTGAACTGTACCGGCCCTTCTCTATTACGTAAAGCCCCGTTCCGGGGAGGCCTTTTGCTAGCCCGCCAGCTTAAGAAATATATGGCCCGAGTGTTTTGAGTGCTAGAAATATGTAAGATAATACTTGAATATACATATCCATTTAGGTTTCTAGAAATAATTATTACTTCAAATAAGTTCAGTTGTTTACTTGACCCATATTTTCTCGTTGCAATCAGTGTGGATTCTTACTGACTAAAAATTTCAGAAAACAGAAAAAATAAATAGATGTTTACCTATGACCATATAGCTAATTCACAATCGTACCTGACCGATATTTTCTCTTAGTCTTAATGAATACCTAATTTTGCAAAAAAATGAGCATTTCCCTAATTACTTACTATATTCAACCAATCTTGAGTCCTGACGTATGAGACGTACAGAGAAAACTTCCGTTAACCAATTTCAACCTACACATGAGAAGCACATCTGACACACTAAAAGTGAGTAGCACATCTGACTCACAATACTGAGATTAAGTTTTCATAGATATAAAGACATAGATGATGCTTCTATACTACCATTGAAGGTTCAGCGAAGAAATACCTTCATCATTTGTGACAGGGCCCACATCAGAGCAGGGAATGTAAAGATAAGGTAGAGCCTGCATACAACAAAGGTAGTTTAAAATCTAGGCCGTGAACTACAAACTTCATCAGCATAAAAAATCCAATCCATGAAGCTAAAAAATTATGGTACAAACAATGACGGGTTTGGAGAAACCCAGTTATAGCTTTAACCGTCAATAAATATAATTAATATAGTAGCAACAATTGAAGAAGACAGCAGAAGGAGTATCAAGATATGATAACTGTGATGAGGGATGTGACGGAAATAGGTCAAGTATGTGAAACAGTCTGTAGTACATTTTTTACACTGTCAGCTAAAAATGCATGAACTTAGATTTTGCAGAAATGAATAATAACTGAAGTCCCACGCAAAAGAGTCACAAGTCTCGATGACTAAGCCTTTAAACTAACAGAATCTACAAGTACATAGAAGCCACTTCCAAATACAATTAAGGAAAAACCAGAAAACAAAACATAAAGTTTGCATTTGGATGGAACAATGTGGCTTCGAGGGGTGTTTTGAAAGAAGGATATCAAATGACTCAATTTTCTACGATAATGTAATCCACTAAACTCGAAAATTAGCCAAAATAGGAGCAGATGGATTTAAAATTCATTGTAACATGTAAACATCCAACTAGCTAAAGGGATCCGTTCATATGAATTTTCAATCGTTTAACTCCAAATCCATCAACCTAAATGGAGCCTGAAGGAATATCTTCGAAAATTTAGACTCCTGTATCATTCTTAGAATCTTATATATGCCAATGCACCAAAACGCTGAATCAAATATCACCAAAATTGTTCAACCCAAGTAACTGCATTTTAATCTTCGTCGAAAAACTCTTGACAAGAGAGAGAATTTTGGACAGTTAGGAAATGCTAAATCCATGTGTCGCGCAACTATCGTTTTCGTTCATGCTTCAACACCTCCAAATGTCAACAAAAGCAAAACCGAATCTACCGACAAATGTTTTACACACTTCCATATGCATGCTCACAGACATATATAAGTCTTAAAGGGATCAGAAAAATTCAAACAAAAAATTAAACAAAAGTTTGAGCAGCAAAGTCATACTCGATGAACGTGCAAGCAAGTCTTCTGGCCAGCCGGAGTCGAACCGTATATTCTTATCACTGGTACCTCGCTCACCTTCCCACCTGAGTACAGTAATTCCACAGCAAACTCAGACCCACTGAGAATTTCAAAAAATTTAAACAGTCGCAAAAAAGAATAAGGGGGAAAGTATTTACAAACAGAAGGATTTCAATTGAAAATCCGAAAAAAAAAAAAAAAGAAAATTGAAATGTCCAGAATTAATCCGAACAATTCGATTGAAAATACCGTGGAAAGTACTGTAAGAAATGTCAAGGTCATGAACAGGAGGCGCCATGTAGTAGTCGATTGAAACTATTCGGACGCTAAAGAATCTGGGTTGAGAACTCTCCATTTTTTTTTTTCCTTTTTTGATTTTTGATTCCCTCTTTTCTGAAACCTTTTCAGTTAATTTCATTCATTTTTTATGTTGAATTCTGTTAGAGGGGGGAGAGAGAGAAGGGGGCCGACGGTCCTGCACTTGTCTGGAAAGCGGCACCGGATTTGAACAGTTGTGTGTGTGTGTGTGTGCGTGAGAGAAGAGAGAGAGAGAGAGAGTTCAATTTGGCGCCGAACAACGAGGTAGGTTTTATACTGTATTCGCCGGAGATGGAAAAGAAGGGGATCCGTAGCTTGAAAGCTTTGCATTTCATGGTCAAAGTAACTGACATATACTAATTGATTTTCTTTTTCTTTTTTTCTCTTTTTTGTTTAGCGGCAAGCGGCAATTAGCAAAATGTTTTTTTCGACCCGATCCAATGGATCGGTTAAACATTGATTATCCGCTTAAAAATATGGTCGGTAATGGGTCGGTTGGTGGATAAAAACCAACTCAGTCCCAGCCCTAATTATTATTATTATTATTATTATTATTATTATTATTATTATTATTATTATTATTATTATTATTATTATTATTATTATTATTATTATTATTATTATTATTATTATTATTATTATTATTCATTATTATCATCATTATTATCATCATTATTATCATCATTATTATTATTATTATCATTATTATTATCATTATTATTATCATCATCATCATTATTATCATCATCATTATTATTATTATTATTATTATTATTATTATTATTATTATTATTATTATTATTATTATTATTATTATTAAATTGGAGGAGAGAGAGTGTGAATATTAATGAGGAGAGATGAATAGAAGGAGAGGGAAATGAGTTGAATGAATAAAATATATGTGTTAGTAGGTTTGAAAGTTGGAAAAAATATGAATAGTGTATTTTCATTGGAAATTTAAAATTTTGATAGGAAAAGGTGTGTGTTTTCAAGTAAAATTCCTGAAACAAACATGATCTCAGTTTTATGAATAGTGTAGAAGTTGAAAATTGATTTGGAAATGAAAACAAACATGCCCATAACTATTACAAGTGGATCCACAGTGACCTAACTACGCATGAAGTTACTGATTTGATGTGGGCTCACCCTCTGTCAGTCGAAATGTTGAGATTGTTTCCATATGTTTTTGTGTTCGACTGTACATACAAAATAAATCAGTACAAAATGCCTTTGTTTGAGATAATTGGTGTTTGCTCCTAGGGTCTGAATTTTATTGTTGAAGTGGCATTTATATGCTATGAAAATGAAGAGCACTATAAATGGATATTGAACAATGTGAGAAGTCTATTCGTCCCAAACAGTGTACTGGGTGTAGCTGTGATTGATAGAGAGTTGGGGCTCATGAAGGCGTCACACAATGTCCTCCCAGATTCATATCATTTTCTATGCACATTCCATATCAATAGCAATGTGGCTCTTCGTATTCCACAAAAAATTATGTAATAGTAAGTCTCGAGGAATTGCATTTGTTCGTGGGTATTGGCAGAGAGTTGTAACGATAGTTGAGGAATTCGAAAGTAACCTTGCGAAGATGATCGATGAGTACATAAATCATCCGGATCTACTCAAGTATCTTGAAACGACTTGGTTCATATACAAACATAAATTTGTTCATGCATGGAAAAATTTTGTATTCCACCTCTGCAATACTTCAACAAACATGTAATTTAATATTAATTGTGCAATATAAATACGTAATTTAATATTACTTGTGCAATATTTTTTTTCTTCATATTTTCATTAATTTAGGTGGAGAGCATTCATAAAGCAATAAAAGATTGGTTGTCTTAATCCACCGGTGGATTTGACACATTTTGGGGACAATATCCCTCACTGGTGATTATTCAACTTATTTAGATTATGAAAATATTTGGTAAATCAAAGAGGATTCCAGCGAAGACTATCACTATACCTTTTTTTAAATTTTATCTTCCGGAATCGTCATCCATGCGGCCCTTTGACTTTTGGATGATGAACGTGAAAAATGTAGAGAATTGTAATTGTTACTTGAAAAAAACTCATGGTTTCCGCTGCAAACATGACATTGATTTGAAAGAGAGTAGACGTGGTGGTGAGTTTTATGCCGAAGATGTCCATAAATTTTGGAAGACCGGGATTGTGTTGGATGGCAGTCAAGCAGAAAGTGATGATTCAGTCCCTGATCATAGGAAACAAGCACTTGAAAGATTAAACGGATCGATTGATGAGTTGGGTCAACGGCCAGACATTGAGATTAACAATGTGGCGGACGTAGTTTTTGAACGAACGCTTACCTGAGTGACTAAATTAAATGAGCCGTCAGTACAACGGTCAAGAGGCAGACCGAGGAACAACTCCACACAAAGAGATTTTTCAGGGTGGGAGTTCCCACCGTTTTCTCACATCTGAAGAACAAGGTCGAGTTCGAGGCAGTAGAGGCCATGGAGGACGTGGAACACCTTCCAATTCACCTAGCAGAAATCTTAGTCGAGGCCGTTCATCTATTGTGAGTGCACCCGAACCGGAACGAATTGTCCAGCCTAAATTTATCCGGAATCTACATTTTGCACTTGTACCTGATGTCGTGACGTGGACGAACGTGTTAGGTGATAGTAACTGTGGCTACAGAGCTGCTGCATGTGCAGTCAAGGGCGACGACGATAATTGGTATGAGGTTAGAATGGATGTTTATATTTTTTTCGAAATAATAAGGAGTTTTTCAAAGACTACTAGGGTGGTGGGAGTTAAAGTGATGACAAGATTTGCTCATTGGCAAAATCTACCAGTACCACTAAATAAATGGATGACTATTACGGATTTGGGAGTGATCATAACAACATGTTACAATGCTTTGGTGTTGTTGACTTCCAGTTCTGGAAAAGACTTATTTGCCACTTCTCTCCCCTGAGGGTGTTTCACAAGTATCACACGAGATGATCATCTTATACTTGGAGGAAGGGATTAAAAACAGAGGGCTTTCAATTGAAAATACAAAAGAAATAAAAAATCAAATGTCCAGAATTATTCCAAACAATTATATTGAAAATACCATGTGAAAGTACTGTAAGAAATGTCAAGGTCATGAACAGGAAGCGCCATGTAGTAGTCGATTGAAACGATTCGGATGCTAAAGACTTTGGGTTGAGAACTCTCCATTTTTTTTTCTTCCCTCTTTTCTGAAACCTTTTAAGTTAATTTCATTCATTTTTATGTTGAATTCTGCGGGGGGAGAGAGAGACAATGGGGCAGACGGTCCTGCACTTGCCAAAATGTTATTCGTTATTAAGAAATTGGAGGTTGCAATTACTTTGCGTGGGTTGATCCCCCACTGTGTGAAAGATCTTGTCAAATAATTCAGACTTACTTCAAAAAATTAACAAAAATGAAAAGGTGTTGAAGAAGATTAGAGAACTGTTAAGGAAAAAGGGATCAAGGGAAAAGTGGTTGTGGATAGTCTTGATAGTTGCACTGTTATTGATTTACATTGTTATCTAGATCTTTAAAATTGTAGTAGGGTTATTGTGGTTGTTTGAAGCGAAAAAATGTAATTATTTGGTCGTTTCATGATTTCATTTTTAGACATTTGCTCAATCTATGTACGTTGTAATAATGACTTATGTTAATTCAATGAATTTTGTTTTTATAATGAATCTATCAGTGACTTACATAATGATGTAAGTAATGAGTTTTCATCGATCAATGCTTACTATTGTTAATCAAAGTGTGTAAGAGTGTCAACAAATACAATGCAAGAAGTAAAACGATCATTCACTGCACATAACAAATTAAAGGTATGAGTGGAGAAAATAACCAAATCCAGCCAACTCTCAAAAGTTATCAATCAAACTAGGTTAAAAAAACATGGAGTCAAGTAACTTCTTCTTCCACTCTTCTATTTGATTCTAAATATTATGACATATGTTTCCATTAAACTTTTCCATTTTATGCCTCTTCGATTGTATCCTCTTCATCAAAATCTTTCTGACAACCTCAAGAATATCAATGATTCCCATATCTAGGCCTCAAAATCATTGAATTGAAACTTTCACACATGTTATTCAAGAGTGTATCATACTTTGAATGTTTTCTAAAAAAACATTTAGACCAATGTGCAGCTGGTCTTTTGCAAGCCATTGAAAGACAACTTTATCATTTCCACTCAAATCTCTCATGATTATGTTAAAATCCACAACCCTTGTAGTTCTTCCAGCTTGCCACCAAATGTTATTTAATGCTAAACCCATATGTGCTAGATTAAAATTACTATACAAATGCATTACATAAAACTTGTATTGCATCAATAAGCCCTTTTTGCTTGTCACTCATGATTGTCCACTCTCCATAGTTATCAATTTGCAGGTGCTCTTTCAAGAGCTTCATAAACCACAACCAAGTATCTCTTCTTTCTTTTTCAACAACAACATAAGAAAATGAAATCATGTCATTATTTGCATCTATCCCAACTGCACATAACAATAACCCCCCTCCCCCCACCAATTTGTGGACTTCAAATGACAGCCATGAAGGAAAATGATCTGCCTACAGTCATCCGGGAAACCTTCTCTCAGAGCATCCCAATAAATATATATTCGTTCAAACTTCATCTGATCTCAATGACCATTACCCTTGATTCTGATTGTGGTTTTAGGACTACATTTCTTTATCTTCTCATCATATCTCCACAACATGCCAAACTGCTCAACACTAGACCCTGTATTCAACTCCACAACTTTTTTCTTTGTTCTATACATTTGGTATGTGATCAATAGCAACATTCCTTATGGGCAACAATCATCATTGAGCTACATACCAATTTGGACCAATTCTGATTTGATCTGCATATTTAGAGGCCAACCATCTAGACTTTACACAACCAACCCTTTTCTTTTCTTAGACATTCATGAACTGCATTAATTGTCATGATTTGAAAGGTTGCCTCACCTCTCATTTTAGAAGCAAAAACAAATCATGGACAAGTTTCATGCTTGCAGACTGCTTGGACCTTATTTTTTTCATTCAACTTCAGTTTTATATTCCTGCCATTGACTCTTACATGCTGCCTTACAACTTTCCTAAAAGAAGGTGCATCGGGGAAGCAAATGCCAACCTGAAACTGTGGGTTCTCATGTTTATATTTGGATTGAACACTGGGTAATTGTGGTGCGTGAATTGATCTTTCTTGGGGATATCCACAACCCGAGTCTCCACTTCTTTATTCAACCTCTTAGATCTTCTAGGTTTTTCACTCTCATTGTCTGACCTAAGAGCACCCCATAATAAACATTTTCATGATATTGAAAGTCATTTCACACTCAAAGAATTTACTATAAACTAGAAAACCAGAATGCACTGAATCATCCCCTACTGATTGCCCATCACTACCCCATTGTCATCACAATCTATCATATCCTCTAATATTTCATCAATTGTTCTATCATCATGAAAATTATCATTGATAGGCACATCAATAGGGATATAAATCTCATCACCAAAGTTTGGTTCATCAACATTACCTATTGGTTCATCAAAATCACCAACAGGTTCATCTACTTCTGGAAAATCATCTTCATATTCGAATTCCCCTACTGTTTCACTCTGACTTTGATCAGATTGTTCTACTTGTTCATAATGCTTCACACAAATTGCAGAAACCCTTTGTTCATGAAGATAATTCACCAAATCTAAGGCATCATTATCATTTTGCATTAAATACATAATACTACAGTCATGCAGTCCACTTCTATCATGAAAGAAATCCAATCATCCAAATGTATCTCCCTACCATTTCAGTTATCTCAGTCATTGACATCTTATCTATACAAAAATTGTCAAAGTAGGTTATATTTTACCAGCATAGCAGATCCCACCCAAATCCATATTTTTTCCAGAATGAACGTCATTATTGTGGAATTCTTACTATTTAGGCTTGTCAAAGCATAAAATACATTTTCAGAAGAAAAAAAAATTGTAATATAGCAATGAGGACAAAACATAAAAAATACGATAAAGAACATGCAGGAGACAAAAATGTGGTCAACGTGTAGTGGAATCTAGGCAAAAAAGAAAAGAAAAAACACAGATGTGGTCCTGTCTTTACACCATAAATACTATAGAATACAACAAAGTGATAAAATAACATTTGACATAAAACCACCCAACTGCCATCGCATTTGATACATCAGACAAATATTTTTAAAATTCAAGAAAAAAGTAAGACATAAAATAGCAGATCATACCGTAATCTAGAGCATTTATTCCAAAATCAGCGGCATTGTTACCCTCTCTAACTTTCCAAGTCATTATTAAGTGTGAAGATCTTCTGATTATCACAAAATTGCAGATGAATCCTAAACCTGGAAAACGAGAAAAGGGGGTTGATGAATTGGAATGTTTGAAGGGGGATGTTTGAATGTAATTGACTACTAGGGCTTGATATTTTAGGAATGGAAAAGAAAACAATAGCTTTGAATTTTGCATGTGCAACGCATGTGTGTTCAGAACCGGTCATTTTAACCTTAAAACGGGCCCAAAAGGGCCAAGTGACACAATTAACTGGATACATGTGAACTCGTGCAAAAGGAATTTGTTCTAGGGGTGATCTGCAAAAAACTTAAAAATTTTCAGGTAGTTTAATGCTATTTATCTCCTAATAGTTATGTTCCTCAAGCAAGCCAACCAAATGTTGCAGAATTGCATGTCCACCCCTAGCCTGCTTTTTTATTTTCGCCTTTAGTTCATTGTATATTTGTTTCAAATGCACATCATTTGCCAAGTTTTGTTCTTTCAAGTGTGCTAAAATCTTTTTCGGCGGCACATACTTTTTTGACAACATATGAGTTATGGCCACCTCCTCATTGTCATTTTAGTCGACCCATGTCCCCACATATATACTGGATCATGATTATGTTTCTTGTATAATATTCTAAGTTTTCATCTATCCCAGTAGTGTTCGGCTCCCACTAAAGAATTTTCTTGCTCTTGAAAAGTAATGAAACAAAACAAAGTTATATAAAAAAAAACCAAACCGCGCATCCAAAAGCAACGCACACGCCCAAATTGAGCATCGAATGGACTGCGCACACCGAAATTGTGCGTGGATCGTACTTCTGGGTGTTCAATTTGGGTGTGAAAGTACACTTCAAGCGTCCATTTTGGTTGTAAGATATATTTTTGAAATTTTACAACGATCCTCATCCGTTGCACTCATTTTTTTTTTAATCACTTGAACAACACAAGGTTTTGGACAATTTAAGATTTTTTTTTGACTTGAGAAGCTTTTATTCTAGTGAAATAAATAGAGGGTAGAGAGTGAACTAGAGGTAGTAAATGATTTTGAGTCAGCTACAACTGAAAATATTCTGGCGAGCTCAGCTCGTTCCCACCTTTTAGTAGTGAACGATGTTCGTAAATATGGAACCATAATTACCAAGTAATTCGAGAGTGCGTTCCTTGCTAAAAGTAGAGTTGCTGGCTACTGATTTCTTAATCAAATAACTTGGCGGTAGCCCGGAAAAAGGGGGAAGAAAGAGAAATAATAAACTAGAGTAAACGAGAAGAGGAACATGTGAAATCAACTGAATGGCTCCGCCGCCGCTATGGAGGATTTAACCGGCGGTATGTGCTGACATTTTCTCAGGCCAACACTAAATTGGGCTCTTACAATGAACGATGCACTCTCTCTCTTACTTCAAAGGACGCATCATCTGACGAGTTATAAATCCAGGTATCAGGTTTTCGCCGATGTTCTTAAATCATGTGGCTTAACATCAGATACCACCTTGGGCAAATCTTTGCATAGTCTTGTTATCAAGCAAGGGCATAATTCGTGCTCCTTCGTTTCGAAAGCTTTGCTGAATATGTACGCTAAATGCAAAGTTCTTGAAGACGCCCACAAACTGTTTGATGAAATTACTGTTCGAGATACTGTTACTTGGAACATTCTTTTGTCGGGTTTTGCTGGTTCGAGGTTTCATGATCATAAGGTGATGGGGTTGTTTAATACGATGCGGCACTCTGATCGGGATAATAAACCGAGCCCTGTGACTCTTGCTATTGTTATTCCTGTCTGCACGCGTTCTGGCGCTGTGGTTGCTAAAAAGAGTATGCATGGATATGTAATAAAGTCTGGAATGGAATCGCAGACACTGGTAGGAAATGCATTAGTGTCGATGTATGCAAAATCCGGACTTGTTTTAGATGCATCTGTTGTGTTCGATGGAATTGCTGACAAAGATGTTGTTTCGTATAATGCAGCTATTGCAGGTTTAGCCGAGAATAAGCTCGTTGATGATGCGTTTCGGCTCTTTTATGAGATGATTAAAGGTCCTGTAATGCCTAATTACGCCACCTTCACAAATATATTGCCTTTGTGTGCTGCTTTACCTAACGCTGTCGGTGATATACTGGGAAAGGAGATGCATTGCTATGTTTTGCGACGTGCTGAGTTGGAACATGAAACTGTTGTAATTAACGCTCTTTTAAGCTTTTATTTGAGGATTGGCCGAATAAGAGAAGCACAATGTTTGTTTGGGAGGATGAAATTTAGAGACTTGGTTTCATGGAACTCATTTATAGCTGGGTGTGCTTCAAATGGTCAATGGTTGAAAGCGTTGGGCGCTTTTCGTGAGTTGGTTAATATGAAGATGATTCGTCTGGATTCTGTCACTGTGATTAGCATTCTTCCTGTTTGTGTACAGTTATTTAATCTGCAATTGGGAAAGGAAATACATGGGTATGTTTTGCGGCGTCGAACACTACACGAGGATATATCAATTGGGAATGCATTGATTAACTTGTATGCAAAATGTTGCTGCACAGAGTCAGCTTTCAGTTTATTTTTGCTTATTCCTCGAAAGGATTTGATATCGTGGAATACCATGCTCGATGCTTTTGGAGTAAATCGACTCGAAACTCAGTTTGCTGACCTGTTATATTGGATGTTTCTGGATGGAATAAAACCTGATGCGGTTACTATATTAACTGTGGTGCAGTTCTGTGCGAGCTTTTCAAGAATAAAAAATGTTAAAGAAACTCATGGGTTTTCATTGAGATCCAGCGTTTTACTTAGAGATAGCGAACTGACTCTTGGAAACGCATTGCTTGATGCATATGCCAAATGTGGAAACATGGATTATGCATCGAAATTGTTCGACAACTTATCCGGAAAGAGGAACGTAGTGACATGCAATTCAATGATTTCGGGATATTTGAGCCACGGTTCACACGACGAAGCACATATTATATTCGAGAAAATGTCTGAGAGGGATCTCACTACTTGGAATCTCATGGTACGAGGCTACGCTCAAAACGAGTGTCCTAATGAAGCTCTCAATCTGTTTCACGAGTTGCAGTTCAATGGAATCAGGCCTGACGCCATGACTATAATGAGTGTCCTTCCTGTTTGTGGTCAAATGGCTTCGATTCATTTGCTGAGACAGTGTCATGGATATATTGTTCGGGCTTGTTTCGAGGATGCTCATTTAAAGGCAGCTCTTTTAGACGTGTATTCAAAATGTGGAAGCGTAAAAAGTGCACACAAGCTCTACAAATCAACTCCAAAGAAAGATCTTGTTGTGTTCACTGCTATGGTTGGAGGGTTTGCTATGCATGGAATGGGCGAAGAAGCTATTAGGGTCTTCGACCATATGCTCGAGTGTGGTATCGAACCAGACCATGTTGTAATAACTGCCGTTTTATCTGCTTGCCGTCATGCAGGTCTTATTAATGAAGGATTGGTGATTTTTAATTCAATAGAACAAGTGCATCATATGAAACCGAGCATGGAGCAGTATGCTTGTCTGGTGGATCTCCTTGGTCGAGGAGGCCGAATTAAAGAAGCGTTTTCTTTTCTAAATCGAATGCCTATCGCAGCTAATGCTAATATATGGGGTTCACTTCTCGGTGCTTGCAAGACTCACCACGATGTGGATATGGGTCGTGTTGTGGCCGATCACCTTTTGAAAATACAAACTAACGACATTGGAAACTACGTAGTTTTGTCGAATCTATATGCTGCAGATGCTAAGTGGGATGGTGTGTTGGAGATGCGGAGGTTGATGAAGACGAGAGACCTGAAAAAGCCAGCTGGTTGTAGTTGGATCGAAGTGGGAAGTAGTAAAAACATATTTGTAGCTGGAGATTATTCTCACCCAGACAGGAGCATCATTTTTAGCATATTGAATCACCTCGACAAACAGATCAAAGAGCTATATAAGTCACCTGATATTTGAAGACATAAAACATACTTGATGTCATTGCAGTTGAAAGCTGAGAGGATAAATCAATCTTGTAACCTTAGGAAATGGAGTTGATTGAGTCCTGGTAAGGATCCTATACTCCAAATATTTTTGCCTTTTTATTTTTGTGGCCTAAGTATAAATGTGCATCAAAATCTGCAGTGAAGCCACCACAGTTTTTTCTATTATATTAATTAGGGCAAATTACGGCCACCCCTGAGGTAAGCTCAAATTATGAAAAAACCCTCATGTTTGGGTAATTACAACCACCCCTCAACTATGTATTGTCTTACACGTCCATCCTTACGATGTCAAATTTACCTACTAAATATGAGGGGTTTTTTCGTAAGACAATACATAGTTGAGGAGGTAGTTGTAATTATCGAAACAAGAGGGTTTTTTTTCCTAATTTGAGCTTACATCAGGGGGATGGCCGTAATTTGCCCTATTAATTGTGTTCGTACAAAATACTTGCCCTATTATATATAGTGGTTAGTAAACCACCATATATAATATCATTATTTTCTTCCGTTGCAATTTGACTACCGTACCAATTCATGCTCCCTCTATCAGTTAGCTTGTCTATCATAGTCATCTACTTGACTACTTCAAAACACTCATTTTTAATATGACCAACCTGTTACAATTTTGACATATAGGTTCTTACTAAGCTTGTTTTCTGCATTGTGTACACTTTTGTTGACTTATTTATATTTCTACCTTTTCCAGGTCCGTTTCCCAAATCTTCCACTTCTAAATAGTTGTCTTCTATATGTTTAGCACTCAGTGATGATTTAAATTTACTTTCTACCAAAATGCACTTTAATCAATTTTGCACAATAGGAATTCAAAGTTTAATAACACTTAACTTCTTTATTCAAACTCTGTTCTGTTCAAAAGATATCCCATGTTTGTTTTGATTTATCAGCTCTCATTATAATTGTGAAGATTGAATTTGCAACAGCGTTTCTGGTTTTGACTTTTGACCGAAATTACCATGTTTTCTCACCGTGAGATCTTTTTCTTGCACCAAAATTTGTTGGTCTTTCTAAAAACATTGAAAGAGTAACCCGTTGCAAATTTCTTGATTTTGCCATAAAAATTTTCTGATGGACCTTACTTGTAAAATTTCTCTTTCTTCTTCTATTTAGACCTCCTCATGGATCGGTTTCTTCATATATCCGCTCGTGGTAACCATGTTTATTGCCAATTTTGTTGGATCTTCGCAACCCTTCCGTATGAAAGTTTTGGCTTCATTTATGGATGATTAATGGCAGAATAATCTCAGTAGCTTAGTATTGGCTTAATGTATGCTCAAAGCTGAAATAAAGTGAAAATTGTAGAGGAAAATGTAGCTACCAAAAAATATGATATTCTGTTACAAATTAAAAGACAAGAATGCTGAATCTTTTAACATGAAAATGAAGACAATTTCTACAAAGCATGCTTATTGAAAATGACGCTAGTCTACTAGTGCAACTATTATTACAGAGCCCAAATACATATCATCTTGTAGCATATAATTGCTGGCTTGCTGCTTTGGAACATTTATTGCAATACGTGTATAATCTTATTGACAAATCCTTATAAGATCAAGTAGAAACGTAAGGAAACTAAATAGTTGTAATATTTTTACTTTGAAGTTCTCTACATCGAAATGCTGTTGGGAATTCCTCTGCCAGTAAGTCCAATATCACTGCTGGGGCAGAGCAAAGTGTAAGGCATCTTGACTGGCCCTGACCTGTTCTTCCATCTCCCATCCTTGTTCATCTCGATGATTCTCTTTTCTATTTTTACTAGCCTTTCGCCAAACATTTCAAATGCTTTAATTGCTTCTGTATCGGTTGTCCACTCAGGAGAATCTCGCTGTCCAAGATAAACCTCATCGGCAGAATGCCTCGACAATATTTCAATCAGGGAAATGCCGAGCACGCTCTGCAGTTGGGAAGTGATGGTCTTCAAGAAAGCCTTTTCGGGGTCCGTTTTTAGTTCGTCGTACTCAGGTGTGCCCTTGTCTGGAATGAAACGTCGGCTCGTGGATGGTCGGTTTGGCAGATAGCCTCCGTAAGGGTACTGTCCGAAATTCACTGCTGCATGAAGAGCAGATGCCACCCATACGATGATTGTGCACGAGTCTATCAGTTCTTTCCTTGTCTGCATCTTTGGCCACCATGGTTCGTCTTTCTTGTCTCCATGTCCCTTTTCTCGTACTTCTTTCCACCATGACTGAAGCTCAATGTCTTTCTGTACCATGTCATCTGTCTTGTAGTAAATGCTGCAGTAGTCCTCAACCCATGTTTTGATCGCTGTCCAGATCTCGAGTCCATCAACAGCAAAGGGGTAGTCCTCAATTAGTAGGCGAACTCCGTGTGGGGAGCTCGAGTCTTCAATTGCTACCCCTCTAAAACAAGGTAGAAGTTGTCATTTTCAGTCAGTAAGATCTGATGTCCATTACTTCTGAGAAAGCTATTTAAATTGAACTCGTATCTCGTGTTTATTTTTTATTTTTAACCAATTTTTCAGAAACAAAATCGAGGAGTAAAGTGGTAGATCTATGTACCTCTTAACGAGATCTGCAGGGAGTCCCTGATCTGGGAAAGCCCAGTTTTTGTAAATGGTAGACGACATTTCCAGGGCATATTTCCCTGGAAAAACAGTAATTTCAAGAAACCCTCCAGCATTTATGAGGGTTTGCCTAGCCATTGCGTTTACATTCATCGTATCTCGGAAATGAGGCTGCAAAAGCTTATGAATTGGGTGAAGTACGCTCAGCTGCCGATTGGTGGCAATAATGAATGGCTCAATTGCTGCATGAGTGTTCAACCTGCAATCCGAACGAAGACACGACGGATTTTTTTACCAACTTCAGAAAGAAGAATAGATTATGTTGTGTGCCTAAAAACATTTGCAGTTCTGTTTTCACAGCTTTTTTTTACCAGTGACATATGAGCTGATGATAGCCAGAATCATTCACTGCAACATAAGCCTTGGCCAACTGCCAAACTGTGCCTTCAATCCCATCTTCGGCTGGAGTGTACACTGAACTTACTGCTCCGAATTTATCCCCGTTTGGATGCGGCAAGCTCAGCTCAATTGCCAATGGCTTCAGAGTTCCATCGCTTTTCAAGAAGAGAACCGTTCTTGTTGCATAAGTCTTTGCTGCTGTAGTGTTTATCCTTCTCAGGTAGGGCATCAGGTTATCGTGGTGATCTAATATGAACAGCTTATTTTTCTCGATAGCCTATATTCGTCACCATAATTACTTAAGTTAAGCTATGTCAACACACTTCCGAAAAATTTAAGAGGATAGATTTATTTTTACCTCCGTTATGGTGAAGCCGTCTAGGCTGTTTACTATATGTTCTTCAGAGATTGTGCTGGATTGCTTTCCATATAGCTCGGGATCTAACGTGCTTGCTGGGGGAAACTCCTGTAGTAGAGAACAAGTGATATTTGTGCTTCAGAAATTTTGAATTCGTATTGCTGGAAAACATATATTCATAGTAGAAAGCGTTATTTACCTGGAGGCGACGTATAACAACAGGATTGAGTCCAGCCAGCATTTCTCTACCAAATTCTTCATCACTTCTCCAAGCAGTTTTATCCTCTGCTTCATCAAACGGGTAACAAGGTTAAAGACGAAGAAGCATATATATCCCTTCATTCTATTCTCATAATATACATGTCATTTTGTATGAATTCAACGCAACAATTCGACTAACATTACCTTACCTTTAATAACCTGTGGCAGTGGAAATTTAAAGGATTTTTCTCCATCAGATCGAAGCAACTCCTTAATCATTTCGAAGGGGATGTGTTCGCTAATTTTTTCTAGTAAAGATCCGTTCTGTACCTTGATCCCGCCTTCATAGAGCTGCAGCACGTCCTCAAGTGAGTCGAATTCTTCGGGAGTTTTGTCGAAGAGAGCCTCAAACTCAGGGGCAAGGAACTGAAATATCGACTTTAGAGCATACGCCACAAAATCCGACATCTTCAGGTGACTAAACCTTTCATCCCTTGGAACATATATACTCAAGCTCTGATACAGTGGTATCCTACTTTCGCTATTAGGATCTGCCAAAACTTTATAATTAGATTCTTCTGGTTTGTATAAAACCTTAAAAATCATGTAATAAGTTTTTCGGTAAGAATCCTGTTTGTTACCTGATGAAGCCAGAGGTCGACCTGTTCTTCCTCTACGAGGGTATGGATATTCAGTCGAACCGCCTAGAATAGACCGTACGTGCTTTGGACCCTTATCTGGATCACCTAAATCATTGTAGATATCATAGTCGTAAACCCTATCCCATTCCTCAAGCTTTCCAGTTCCGTTTCCTCTCAGGTTCTGCAATTCTTCCTCTCTGTAACGACGTAGCGGTGCAGGTGTTTGGTTGGGAAGATATGTCTGTGCAATGAAGTCATTATATTTCTTAATAAACGGCATTTCATCGACCACTAAAAATTAGCAGGCATGAAACTGTCTTTTATCACATGTTTAATTATTCATCACTAGAAAATTTGAAGCTGTTTTCTAAACGACTTTTCGAGCCGTCCTTGAATCTGTTATGTAAGTATTATTATTATATATGCACTTTTATCTACTTGTGTTGGTCTCGTTTTTTTTTTTTTTTTGTTTCTCGTGAAAATTTATCAAGGCACTGAAATATTACCTGATTAGCAAAAAACACACGGTCGGTCTCGTAATATTGAGCAGGATAAACCCAAGAGTTGCAGACGAAATGTACTCGGCCATGGCCAGGTACATCTTCAAGAGTGAGTGTCTTGAGGTAGAACTCACTGTGGTGAAAATTTGTTACCGTAAATGCCCCTGGAACCCCCATCTCCTTTGTCCACTCGAACGTGACGGTGTATGTTGCATCCCCTGCTGTCAAAGGGCCGATTTTGGTAATCCAGTCTTCCAGGTACGCTATCTTCCCGGGTTTCCCTTTCAAATTTTCTTCTGCAAAAAGCAAAACTGGAGTCTATTATTATCTTGTATTTTTATGCATTTGGGTATACAATGGTAATCATGACATCTTAGCCGTTGGATCGTCAGTTTCGATGCACGAGACCGTACTAATCCAACGGTTGAGACGTCCTTTGATCAGGATTTTAAGTTGAATAAAAAAGGGGCCTGTAAAATCGTAATCGTAAAATTGTAGGATTTTACATGTCTTGTAATTTATTTAGCATGCCATATTTTGTTTATCTTAAGGTCAAACACTAGGTAAAGTGATTTAGATTTTTGATGAAAAAGTAGGGGAAAAAAAAATAGACTAAAAGATTTGAAGGTAGCTGGTAGTAAAATCGTAAAATCATAGGATTTCGGGATTCTAATCGGGATTTTGACTAATGAACTTTCAGCCAATAATAAGCGAAGACACGCACGCGCATACATACCAGAATCATGATCGAGGGAAGAGGTGGTGATGAGCTGGAAGGCCACCTTCCTTCCCAGGATTTCGTCTACACTATCCACAACAGATGCTGCAATATCGTTCACTTCTAGTAAATTCTTCTTCATTAGAACCACAACTCCTTTCATCGTCTTCTTCTTCATGCTTTCTCCTTCCGTCTCTTCGTATTTTGATTTCTTGTCATCCATGCTAATTTTTTTGATGGGAATTATGCTTTTCTTTTTATTCAAAACCCCAACCAATTTCCAACACTTGTTAATATATATCGATATGTATATATATATATGTGTGTGTGTGTGTGTGTTGAGTACTTAGTGAAGAAGAAGATGTGCCACTGAGTAAGGTACTTATATTGCCAAAAAATGTTACTATAGTTTAAGTTGGTGGACTTTGAATTATTTCGGGGAAGACTTGGGATAATGTGAATCCTTACATGTATATTATGCGACAAAGTTATGGTAGGTGTAAGAAAGAAATTAAGATATATTCATTATTAGTATTATTATTATTATTAGTATGTTTTTCTTTAGGAGAAGTCATTTATATATAGTTTATGGTCAAATTTATGCTACTTGCAATTAAGTGTATAATAATGCGTGCAAAATTTATTGTTTATATAATATGTCTAGTTGGTCGATGCAGTACGGAATAAATATGATTTCTATATGTAGTAAAACTATTGGCATTTAAATCTTTCAATTAGAAGCACATGGTTTGGTTAAGATTCGTTTTTGATTAAAGGTGGTAGGTAAAAAAAATTCAGAAATATCTTAAATTTTAAAAGGGATTATTAGAGCATCTTCCAAGAGTTTTTAGCAAGCGGCACTCCTGTGATATGTCTAATTACCGAAAAAGTCCCCGTGTTAAAAAAATTAACATGTAGAAGTCAGAGCCAATAAACCTCCTGTGAGATGATCGTGCGTTACACTCGCCTATTATGCGACTGGGAGCGTATTTTTTGACTTGAAAATACCACAATACCCTTTCAATTATTTTTTTTGAAAATTACAGATTCACCCAATAAAAGACCCATCTTTCAATTTAGTCCTTAACATTTTCAAAAAGCCCTCTTCTCCAAATCAACCATTCTGTTACCACAAGTCATCTTTATCTTCCCATTTCCTGCGAGCCCGTGATATTGAGAAGGAGAATCCAATCGGGTCTTCAGGTTTCAAGAATCCGGGTTGTCAGATTGTTTTCTTCTCGTCGACCATTCATTCGAGGTGGGGGCGCCGCCGCCGCCGCCTTATACGACCGTAAGAGGTGTTGGATTGGATGGGGAGGAGATGGTGCCCATAACACCGACAATGGGCTGCCGATTTGGGGAGATTTTTGCTTGAATTTAGCATTGGTTTTGAGGTGGATGTCGAGAGGACATCTCCGAAGCCATAGCCGCCGACGACAAAGGTATCGTCTCTAATTTCCATCTCCAGACTTCAATTCTTGGTCGGGGAGAGAGCAGGGGCGGATCTAGGGGGTGGCCAAGTATGCCATGGACCACCCCAATTATTGAAAATAAATTTGCCTTAGTGGCAAAGATCTCCAACTTATTTGTTGAGGTCAGGAGTTCGACTCCACTATGGTACAAAAAAGTGTTGTTTTATTGTTTTCTCTAAATTTCTTTTGAGCCCCTCTCCTATAAACACATTATATTATATCTATATTACTATTTAGTCCACCCAAAATTTAAAATATACAAAAAAAGTCCTAATGTTTTTCGTTTTTTTAACCCCTCTCCCCAAAAACACATTATATTATTTCTATATTATTATTTATTCCACCCAAAATTCAAAATATACAAAAAAAGTCCTAAATTTTTTCTTGTTTTTTTAGCCCCTCTCCCCAAAAACACATTATATTATATCTATATTATTATTTAGTCCACTCAAAATTCAAATTATACAAAAAAAGTCCCAAATTTTTTCTTCTCCTAATTTATCCAAAAAAAAAAAAAAAAAAATTTCAATTTTTTTCCCTTCTCCTAATTTATCCAACAAAAAAAGGTTCAATTTTTTTTTTCCGGGGCGCTGCCCCCGAACCCCCAAAAATTTAATCCCACTAAACAGTAAATTCTTGGACTCGGCACAGCCGGCATACTTTGAATTTTCGTCCTGGATCCGCCACTGGGAGAGAGAAATGGAGGAAATTGATGTGGCTCGGAGAGGAACCGAATCAAACCATTGCGGAGCATAGGTCAGAGGCAACGAAGATATTGGATTGTGGAGGAGGAGCAGGATGTGCTGGTGGTTGCTGTTGGAGGTGGGTGCACGGTGGTGCTGTTGAAGAAGATGACTTATTTAATTTCTTTTTCCTTTTTATTATTTTATATTTAGTATATATACATTTTGCATTATCTTTTGTTTATAACTTTATAAAAATAATTATTTTGTTATTTTTTTATATAATTTTTATTTTAAATATTTTTTAATATTTTTTTTATTTTTAATAATTACTAAAATAAAGGGTAATGTAGCATATTTTTATAAGGGTAATACAGTCATTTCATTATAGTCAACAATTGTTTTTCGGATAGGGGGTGGTCGGCTAAATAAAATCCATCATAGGGAGGTAAATGCTAATTGTTTTAACACAAGGGTTTTTCCGGCAATTAGACTTTTCACAGGGGGTAGTATGCAATTAACTCCATCTTCCAATGTCAATACCATTTTTTCTCCAATTCTTATTTTTTATGGTGAACATTTGGGTTTATCTACCATTCGTAGCACACAATTCTACAATTTCATTATTTTACAAAAAAATAGTGTATTTAATCTCCCACCAATACCATCAAATTTAGTATCAAATAATAAGATAATAATATTTCTCCTTTTCGCCAGTTATAGAGAATATGATTTAGTTTGGTCTCCCGTAATTATTTCACCAAATATATCATAAAATTATAAATTTAATGTTAATCATACTTTTAGTCTATATTATTTCGAAAATATTGATTATGGATCTAATTTTAAGTAATAATTTTGTTGACGATATAATTTCAAATGAATTTTAAAACACTATTAAAAGATGAAAGAAAATCAACTTAAATTATAAGGATAATTGGCTGGACCCCTCATTTAGAACTTATATGAATGGAGATCCATTTTGTAAGTTGATTATAGATATATGTCACTGGACTAAAATTTTAATAATAACTAAATTAAATTGTTAATCTACTGACATATTTACCCTAAATGAATATTTATATTAAGATAATTAATTATGAAAAATATAAACAAAATCCCACATTTCACTATATCTCTTCGAATTTCCCTATCTCTCACGCCTCTCTCTTCTCTAACTTCCCACTCTCTCTCTCCTCTCCCCCTCTCTTTTTTTTTTTTTTTCTTTTTTCTTTTTTTTTTCTTTCTTTTTTATATTAAGATAATTAATTATGAAAAATATAAACAAAATCCCACATTTCTTTCTTTTCTTTCTTTTAGCCTCACGGCTCTCTCCACCTAAATTGTATCAACAAAATGCTAGTTGCAAATTGCAATAGCAAAATGCAAAATACATTTTAGCAACATACAAACTGCAATTTGTAACAACAAAAATAAATAGCAAAATAAATTGAATATAGAACCACCTACTAGCATATGTCGAATATTTTGTTACAGATTAAATGTCTTTTTTTTTTTTTTGAGTAAATTCAAGTCATTTACAAGGGGAAGTAGGGGAAGGAGGGACTCGAACCCAAGACCGATTACCTTATTGGTAAGGCTAAGTACCAACTCTCTTAATGAGGGTTGGTGATTAAATGTCTTTCCACAACAACAAAATATAGAACTAATGATAATTTGTTCAAACATTAGTACTCCAAGTTTATTTTTCCTCGAACAATATACAATAGGTTTAACCGACAAAATATGAAATAAAAGATGATATAACAAACTAACAAACTAATTTTTGTTTAGGAATAAATCAGTACATTAAATATTGTAAGATACAAATAAATATTTTTCTAGATTAACTTATAGTAATAAAGTAACTATAAGGTTTATATCTTTGTGCTTGCATGAGAAAACATATATACCTTACCAAAAATATATATATTTTCATTAATCCGAAACATAAAGTTTACAGAGTAGTGTGAAAAAACACATTCTGAAGTTAACTTGTTGACCACCTACTCTAAAATCTACTTCGTTCGGTGTTGCTACTCCTCCCTAACATTGTACTTCCCGCAGCGCTGCCAATTTTACCTAGAATGCTACTTGTCTGTGGAGGTTGATTGGTTCAGCACCCGGTGGACATACTCAGATTGACTTATTTATGAGTTTTGAATCACATGTAGCCTACGATATATGGGAGGGAAATATAATATTAATTAATTTTAATTCGCTTTGTTTTAAAATGCGTGTATTAGATTGTTTTATAATTAAAAGTGGATATATCTTATACATGAACAGAGTATGGAAAAGGTGCGCAGTCCCGTACCAAAGCAGTCTACCCTACCGATGCTCGTCATCTATTCATTGTTGGATGGTACAAGCTTGTACCAATTGCAACATTTTGCACTCTCTCAGCCCAATATAACCCACTGATAAAGGCTTTCATGGAGATGTGACAGTCAGACACCAACACATGTTATGTGTCATAAAAAAAATCACTATGACTTTTAAAATTTTTTATTTATTTATTTACTTATTGGAAATTTGGCACTAGATAAGAGGGGAAAAAATAGATTAAAACCATAGAAAACCAAAACAAATAAGTACAAAAATCCATTACACAATTAGAAAGCGCCAAAATAATCTGCTTGTTTGATTTTTTTCTTCTTATTTGGTGCCAATTTTTCTTCTTATTCAAATAAGTACAAAGTATGGTGTAGTATCTGGCTCTTTGACAACTACTGCAATGGACATGTACTCCTCGTGGAGGCAATAATCTTTCCATCGATCCGAGAACCGATCGAAGAATGGGATACATGTAGAACTGGAAATTTGACTCGGTCTCACTTTCTTTAACATAAATGTAGAAATATAAGGGCATTCTGGAATACGCTCGACCTGACTGAACTTTCTCAAGACTATGTCCATATGATATGACTCTAAGTCCTATATGCAACACCACTAAACCACGTCGCCTCGGGCATTGGGAACCGATCATGGAGATTGACATACGGATCCTATATAACCTGCAGAAATATAATAAATCAATATTCAGATTACAGAATAAATAAATAAATATTAAAATCGATGACTTTTTATATTATTACCTGATCGGGAGTCAGTTCATCCAACCGAGAATTCAGGTCCCCTGTACGTTCAACACTAGTGATACGGGCCATTTTGACCGAGGTAAACAAATACGAACTAAAGAAGAACCGATTCACTACCACAAGAAAAGATACCGAACTATGATCTCCAAATGACGAGCTAAGACTTCGTAGTACCGTAGTTCGTTGTCAATGTTAAGAATGACCAAAGTACAACGAAAAAGAAGTACGTAAACCGTAACGGGCCCAAATTATAAAGGCCCAGAAAATGGAACTTGGAGAGGGAGAAAACCCTAAAGAAGGAAACCTTGGAGGACAAGAAAGGATCATCTATAAATAGAGGAAACATCATCTTTCCACACATATGCTTACATTATAGCAATAATATCATGAAAAAATATATAACTGACTTGATCGTCGGAGCTTTCCCGCCGGGATCTCCCCCCGGCGTTGCAGGTTTACCTGTTGAAGAACCCTTTCGGGCATTAAAGACGAAGGAAGTCTCACGGACCAAATCAAGTGGCGCCGTCTGTGGGAAGCCCTGAATTCTTGAGTGCACAACTTCCGGGAAAAACACCATATCTACCCCCGGGAGTCTAGATCTGAGCCATAGACGTAGAGAAAATGGAGCAATGAGACACTATCATCCGAAACTTACAAAAAGAATTAGACGTAGCAGCTGCCCATTCCAAAGAAGCCTGTTCAGAAAGATAAATCGGGATGCAGCACAGTTACACCCACGAAGGAGGGCCAAACTTTTCCACTCTCGGGTAGTCATTCATTCGAGTTTCAACATGGTGAGCCCATTCCAAAGAAGCCGGTCACAGCCCCTGCTCAACCTCCCGCTAACGAACGCATGTATACCAAAAGCGAGGTGGAAGCAATGATCACTGCGGCCATTAGGAGCTATGCCCAGTCTTCACCACAAGAGAATAGGCCCAAAAGAGACCTCATGCGCCCCACAAACGAAGAGCGAGCTGAAAACGAGTGCGATAGTTACTCGGAATATAGAGGAGGTGACAGTCAAGATGTCCGGACCGAGGTCGACAGGTTGAGGCGAGACATAAACGAATTGAAGGCTCTGCGAATTGGCTTAACACGAACTCCCGAAGGAACGAACCCGTTTTCCAAACACCTCGACAATGATCCTATACCGTCTAACTATCGACCTATTCTGTTCGAATATAACGGTACGACCGATCCGACCGAGCACCTGAGTCGATTCAACAACACAGCTTCCCTCCACCAGCTTACCGAGGGGGTGAAGTGTCGTGCTTTCGTCACTACTCTGGCTGGACCAGCTCAGGCCTGGTTCGGCCTATTGCCGCTAGAAAGCATAAATTCCTTCGGACAGTTCACCAAGGCTTTCATGAACCAATTCGCTAGCTCGAAAAAATGTAAGAAAACCTCGCTGTCGCTATTCAGCATTAGACACATAGAGAAAGAGAGCCTCCGAAACTATATTAAACGTTTCACCTCGGTAACTCTAGAGGTCCCCACCACTAGTGACGAGGTACTAATGGCTGCCTTGTCACAAGGATTAGGGGATGACGAATTCTTTCGAGCCCTAGCTTTGGAGCCATCGATCACCCGATTTCGACAACTTACTAGGAAGAGCATCCAGGTTCATCAATCTGGAAGAAGCTCGGCAGCAAAAGGTAGAAGAATCCCATCAGGCCGTAAACCTAAGGTCAGGCGAGACAAGGAAGGGTAAAGAACCTATCCCGTCGCGAAGAGACGTGACACCTGGCCGAAATAATGTCCCCGACGTTAAGGGCCCCCGATATCAGTCATATCAGCCCCTTACAGCCCCTTTATCTAATTTTTTGTGCGCAATTAAGAAGAGAAATGACCTACGTTGGCCTCGTTTTGCCCGAGAGGAGCCTCGCCGAAGTCCTGCTTTGGGCACCTTTTGCCGTTTCCATAATGAGTATGGCCACACGACGGATGAGTGTTCGCATTTGAAAGACGAGGTAGAGCGTCTTATCAGAGCCAACAAAATTGGAGATTTCGTAAAGATAGATCCCCCAAGGGGACAAAAACGAGAGGCCCAGTTCGGAAACCCGGCTCGAGTTCCACCCCCACCTCCCATGCCAAAACGAGGATACATCCAAATGATCTCGGGAGGACCTACGGGAGGAGATACTCACCGAGCTAGGAGACGATACCTCGGTGATATTAAAAATAAACACGAGATCCACCAAATCTCCGCGGCAGCGTGTCATAAATATCCTCCTATCTCGTTTGGACCAGAGGATACCGTAGACCTTGATGATTTTCATTGCGACCCCCTCCTCATCACAATTAACGTGGGTGGATATGATGTAGCTCGCGCTTTCGTCGACTCGGGGAGTTCCGTGGATGTTATTTCTTATGATTGTTTCCGACAGATGGAACTCGATCTCCCGATCTTCCCAGTTACTACCCCGATCTTTGGATTCACCACGGGAGGATCTATAACACCGGTCGGACAAGTCAAAATCCCAGTCACCCTCGGGACGCCTCCTCACACGCGGACACAAACTGTTAATTTCGTAATTTTTGAAGGATCTCCCACCTTGTATAACATCGTGATAGGCCGGCCCATGATGCATATATTCCGGGCAGTCCCCTCTACCATACACCAAAAGCTCAAGTTCCATGTGAATGGGGCAATAGGGGAAGTTAAAGGCGACCAAGCTCAGTCAAGATCATGTTACGTCGAGGTTGTCAAAATGGCAGAGAATGGACGACGTGGCACTTTCACTAAGGAGGACTTGGGAGATGAGAAACGTCCCCGAATTGATCCAGAGGACAAAGTCATACATGTCCAACCGATGGATGAACTAATGACAATCGATTTGATCCCCGGGACATCTAAACAAACCCGGATAAGTAAGGAATTGGAGCCACCATTTCGAGATAAGCTGGTAACATTATTGAGATCTAATATGGATGTTTTCGCCTGGCAACCAAGCGACCTAACTAGCATCGCACCTCGTACCGCCGTAGACTCAATCTGAAGCCAGAATGCAGGCCCATAAAGCAAAAGCGGCGACACTTCGGGACTGAGAAAGATGGGATCATCAAGCGAGAAGTCCAACGCCTCTTGGACATCGGGCATATCCGGGAAATTCAGTTCCCCACATGGTTATCTAATGCAGTTTTAGTCCAAAAAGCCAACGGACAGTGGCAGATGTGCATTGACTTCCGAGACTTGAACAAGGCATGCCCCAATGATGATTATCCCTTACCTCGCATAGATCAGCTCGTAGACGCCACAGCCGGGTGCGAGCTACTCAGCATGATGGATGCCTCGCAAGGATATCACCAGATCCCATTGGACGAAGAAAACCAACCCGCAGTCAGCTTTATCACAGCTACCGGTACCTACTGCTACGTAGTAATGCCATTCGGCTTAAAGAATGCAGGAGCTACATACCAAAGATTGATGGATAAAATGTTTCGGGCTCAGCTCGGGCGCAATATGGAAGTATATGTGGATGATATGTTGGTTAAAAGCAAAAAGCGTTCGACGCACCTCGCCGATTTAGCCGAAACGTTTGCTACTCTTCGCCTTTATGGGATGAAGCTTAATCCGGAAAAATGCGCATTTGGGGTTAAGGCTGGAAAATTCCTCGGATATGTAATCACACAAGAAGGCATTAAAGTAAATCAAGACAAAGTAGAGGCAGTACTCCGGATGACACCACCTCGTTCTATTAAGGAAGTGCAGTCCTTAGCAGGAAAAATGGTGGCCTTAGCTCGATTCATATCACGAATGGCCGATAAGAGTTTACCCTTTTTCAAAGTCTTAAGAAAGACCGCACAATTCGAATGGTCCGACGAATGTCAGCTCGCTTTCGAGGCGTTAAAAGTATCGCTATCTCGTCTACCTATCCTCAGCACCCCCGAGAGAAGTGAGACACTTTTTGTATACCTATCCGTGGGAAATGAAGCTGTTAGCTCGGTCTTGTTCAAAGAGGTAAGTAATCTGGAGCTGCCAATTTACTACATTAGTAGAATCTTAACCAGCTCGGAAAGTAAATACTCAGAAGTCGAAAAGATTGCCTACGCATTGGTCCTTACCACGCGACGCCTTCGACCTTATTTTTTATCGCACACCTCCGTCAGACCTTGGATCAATCAACGGAGTCCGGGCGTATTGTTAAATGGGCCGTTGAGTTAGGACAATATGAGATTCAGTACCAACCCCGTACTTCGGTGAAATGGCAGGCATTAGTAGACTTTATTCGAGAAACCACCAGGATACCCATTGAGAAGGAGTGGGAGGTTTATGTAGATGGATTCTCTACGGCATCAGGCGCAGGAGCCGGAGTCATAGTCATCGATCCCATGGGAGTAGAACTCGAGTTCGCCATCAAATTACCACGAGTCTCGAATAACGAAGCAGAATACGAGGCCATCATTCGGGGCATGGAAATCGCTCAAGAGCTCGGCGCTCGAGTAGTGCGTGTAAATTCCGATTCGCAACTTGTGATACATCAGTTAGAAGGAAATTATGAGATAAAGAACGATAGAATGTGGAGCTACGTAAACAAAGCAAGAGATATTCGAGAAGCCTTTGAGGTATGCACTATCTGCCAGATCCCGAGAAATAATAACCAACGAGCTGATTTCCTCGCTAAGATCGGATCATCAGTGATCGATTGTGTTGAAAGAAAAATATCTATCCTCATTGCTCCCACCACAGTTCCCGGGATCATAATGCTCGAAGAAGAAGAGATCGACTGGCGAGCCCCTTTATTCGCGTATTTCCGGGGAGAGCGAGTCGGGAAAACTAGGGAACAACATCGCCTGGAATACAAAGCTCGGCATTTCTATGTGCGACACAGAATACTATACAAGAGGCTTCACTACAGTTGATGCCAGGTGTTTGGGAAAGAAAGAAATAGAGCATGTCCTTGACGAGGTACATAGAAGAGGTTGTGGAGAACACGGAGGGGCTCGAGCGCTCATACAGAAGTTATATCGGGCTGGATATTACTGGCCCGGTATGAAGAAAGACACTTATCACTACGTCAGACGATGCAAACAGTGCCAGAGGTTCGCCCCACTCATACATAAACCTGGAGAAGAAATGACCATTATGAGTGCCCCATGCCCCTTCGCCCAGTGGGGGATCGATCTGGTAGCACCTTTTCCACAAACGACTGGCAGGAAAAAGTTTCTTATTGTCGCGGTAGACTACTTCACCAAGTGGGTCGAAGCAGAGGCCCTATCGAAAATATCAGAAGACGAAGTCATGCACTTTATATGGAAACATATCTGCTGCCGTTTTGGCTTACCTCGGAGCCTTGTGTCGGACAATGGCACTCAATTCAAAGGCAAGAAGATTCGAGCGTGGTGCGAGGAAATGAAAATTACACAGAAATTCATAGTCGTCGCACATCCCTAAGCCAACGGGCAAGTAGAATCCACGAACCCAACCATCGTCAACGGCCTTAAAAAAATGATAGACGAGTTGGGGGGAAGCTGGGTAGACGAGATACCTTCGGTCCTATGGTCTTACCGAACAACTGCCAAAGCTGCTTCCGGCGAAACACCGTTCCGATTAACTTATGGGACTGAAGCAGTTATCCCAGTCGAAGTGGCGATGGACACACTCCGCATAGCCACGTTCGACAATGAAAAAAACGACGACGCCCTGAGAGCGTAGTTAAACGAAGTTTTCGATCGACGAGAGGCGGCATACCTACATATGGAACGAAGCAAGAACTTGATTAAGGCCCGATATGATCAAGGAGTCCGCTCTCGTTCTCTCCAGATCGGTGATTTGGTCCTTCGCCGAGCTGATGCCCTAAAACACACGGGTAAGTTGGAGGCTAATTGGGAAGGACCATATACAGTCACCAAGTGCTTGGCCGGTGGCGGATACGAACTGGCAGATATGGAAGGAAAAACACTGCCACGAGCATGGAATATAGTCCATTTGAAACGATTTTTCGTGTAAAAAAAAAAAAAAAAAAAAAAGACCATATTTTGTAATCAAATACCATCAACAAACACACAATTTCCGAGCTGGGCTAGGCCCCGTGGTTTTTTCTCTCCTTATTTGGAGGGTTTCCACGTTAAAATCTCCATGTCATTTACTCTCTATTAAATGAGTCGTTAAATCGAGCTGAATTGACAACAAGTTGAGATATTAAATGAGTCGTTAAATCGAGTTGAATTGATAACGAGTTGGGATATTAAGTTGGTATGAAATGAGTCGTTAAATCGAGCTGGATTGACAACAAGTTGAGATATTAAATGAGTCGTTAAATCGAGTTGAATTGATAACAAGTTGGGATATTAAGTTGGTATGGAATGAGTCGTTAAATCGAGCTGAATTGACAAAAAGTTGAGATATTAAATGAGTCGTTAAATCGAGTTGAATTGATAACGAGTTGGGATATTAAGTTGGTATGGAATGAGTCGTTAAATCGAGCTGCGTTGACAACAAGTTGAGATATTCAATGAGTCGTTAAATCGAGTTGAATTGATAAACGAGTTGGGATATTAAGTTGGTATGGAATGAGTCGTTAAATCGAGTTGAATTGATAACGAGTTGAGATACTAAGTTGAGATGAATCATTAAACCAAGCTAAAGGACGTAACACGATTTCTTAACATAGAAAAGGCCATGGGAAGTTTACGAGTGACCAAAATCTACCACGAAGTCTACTAAAAATAACTTGTAGAATCACCAACCAAATTGGTCAGAAATACTTCTTCAAAGTCAAAACTTATACAACATATGTATGAAAACATTAATACACAAAAAAGACAAAGAATTCGAACGAGCACAGGGAATAAATCATAAACCAAGCACGCGAGGTGCTAAAATGAAGCACGAAATTATAACAGAAATAAACATTGTTCGAAGCATGAAATCAAACAAAAATTAAAAGGACATTATCCGAAGATACATCATCAGAACATAAACAGACGTTCGGCTAAGTACTTTCATTCCTCGTCTCGATAGGATCTGCCCTCGCTTCACTGGAATCTTCTGTGGAAGGAGGAAGAGTCAAAGCAGGATTCGGCGGCACCTCGTTGAGATTGGCCACCGCCTCGACAGTTTCCACATCCCCGACGTAGTCAGTGATGTTCATCGACGACGATCCTTGCCGAGAAAAGTCTTCGACAAGCTCGCGATAAATCTGCTGCCACCACTCTAAGTCAGGGTCCTCGTTTATATCCCCTTCGAAACCCGGGATCTCGTCATCCGGAAGGTCCTCAACAAGCTCTTCTTCGGCTAGTGCGAACGTAATACCAGCCCCGCTCAGTCGCTTCTGAGCAGCCTTAACAGCAGCAGAGAAGAAGAAACGAGCCAAAGCTGAAGCCTCTCGGGTGAAGGTTGTGGATCGCCATAACCGATGGAAAAACCGACAAACGAACTCTTGCGCGAAGCGAAATCCTTCGGACGATCCGGGGAATAGCCAATGTCCTTCTTTCACCCCCTCGGTGAAATTAGAAGATGCCTGTACCCCTGCAGCGAAGAGCTCATTCGAAAGCACCTTCGCCTTCTCCTCCAAACTGGCATTATGAGATGCCAGCGAGTCCTTCTCCGCTTGTAGGACCTTCTTCTCCTCTTGCATCTTCCGCACTTCAGCAAATAACCCCTCATTCGATGACTCCGCCAGTGCTAAGCTCTCCTTCAGAGCTCGAACCTCCTTCCGGAGTTGGGTAACCTCCTTCTTCTGGTTATCGTACGCTTCCCGGGATACATCATCCCATCCCAGAGGACCCGAGAAGGCGATCGCAAATTGCTGCACGCACCAAAAGTTTAAGTAAAATTAGCTGTAAACGAAAGTGTAAAGACAATATCGACTTGTATATGCGAAAATTGTCACCGACCTGAGTAATGTTGTGCAGCAGCAGCTCGAGTCTGTCGCCTTTACTCATCTGACGATAGTAGGCGACATCTCGGGGAAAAGCCAAAGCCCGACATGCGGCAATGGCGTTCTCCGCGTTTTGGCAAAGATGGAGCGCGAAGTTAGGGAGGGGATGCGGACCAATCGGCCCAAGGACTTGATCCGCTTTCCTCTTCTTCGAGGAGGGTTCCTTCTCTATGATCTCTTCGGTGGGAGGGAGTGGCGAGGAGGAAGCCACGACTAGAGCCGATGACTGTTGAGGGGGGTCGGAGTCCTCAATCAGCAACACACCTCGGGGGCGTGTGGGCCCGGTATTCTTTCTGGAGGTTTTTGGCTTTGAAGCCCCCTCCTCCGACGGCCTTTTCTCGGAGTCGGCGGCCAAAGGACGTTGGAAATCTGATGCTTGGAACCTGGGCTCCGGCTCGGAGGGACGAGTTGCTGGTTTACTGCCTCTGAACATTCGCTTCATCCTTAAATCTGCTCGTAAAATTGGAAGAATGAAGTGAGTGACTGTTAAAATCAAATAAGTACAAACATAACCGAATAGGAAAATCCGAACAAAAAATGAGCCGAGGTAAGATCAGCAACATATCTAAACCCACCTAAGTCCGCTTGGGTTAAAGCGTGAGTGCCGTTGTCAAGAAAGTAGAAGTGGCGAAGCATCGGCGGAAAACTCGTAAGGCTATCAGGGAGACCGTAGCTCGGTTGAAAATGTGCGATCATTTTCAAAAGCCAGTCATCAATAGATAGGGGTTTCCCCTTCCTTCTTTCGGGTAAAGTAGCAACCCAAGGACATAAGTAAGGAGCATTGGTGGGATTTTTAGCAAAGAAATAATGGCCTTGCCACCCATCTGTCTTATTGGGCGGCATTAGCACTTTGAAGCCCGGGCGAGCCGAGATCGAGATGTGAAAGGGACTGGAATTTTTTAGCACCATGACACTTCGGAACCGAGCTGGAGTAGGAATTACCCCGGACCAGGCACATAGCATACGAAACCCAGTCATGATGATTATAGCGTGGGGATGAAATTAGTTAAGGGATACATTATATACTTGGGCGATTTCCGAAAACCAAGGCGAGATGGGAAACGAGAGGCCGAAATAAAATTGCTCGGAAAACCAAGTACTGAAGCCCGGGGGAGGATTTAACGGGCGTTCGTCCCGAGAAGGAAGAACTAGGTCGATGTCAGCGGGAAGACCTATGTCGCGGGCTAAATTAACTAAATCTATCTCGCTAAGAGTGCTAGGTCCCCATTGATCATCCGGATCTCGTCCCTCAGATAGCGAGGGAGAGCCACTCTTCGCTGAGGACATAAGATCATCCCTAACCCTCTTCTTAGACTTCTTCAAAAGTTTACCCGAGGGAGAGAAGAAAGGTCCTTCCTCCGAAGAGGAAGAAATGGTAAGGGCATGATGCTCATCCCCCTCCCCAGAAGAGTGGTCGGAGGTTATTTTTTGACCAAAGGGATCGGGAGAAAAAGAAGTACCTTTGCTGAGGTAGAAGTAAGAACTCTGTTTCGAGAGCAAAATCGCCGGAGGAAATTAGCAAAAGGAAGAGCACAAGGGTGCAAAGAGGAAAATTTTGAAAAATCACAAGATATTTATAGGAAAAAGAAAAGCGAAAGAATTAATCTTGGCCGCTTATTTGGACGGGCGAGATTCAAAATAAGTGCCTCGAGTCTGACGACAAAAGCACCGATTGAAATCTCATAATAATGACCTAGGGAACTCGAATCGACCATATCTGGTGTCAGAATAATCAATGAAAATGAGGCGCGCGTGCGTCCGCCGAAAGCAGGCAAAGACCGAACTAACACCTCGTACTCCATACTTATAAAACGAGGTGGAAAATAACGAACTCGTCTTATAAATAAGGAGTAGGGGGGAGTAGTTGATACGGGCCATTATGACCGAGGTAAACAAATACGAACTAAAGAAGAACCGATTCACTACCACAAGAAAAGATACCGAACTATGATCTCCAAATGACGAGCTAAGACTTCGTAGTACCGTAGTTCGTAGTCAATGTTAAGAATAACCAAAGTACAACGAAAAAGAAGTACGTAAACCCTAACGGGCCCAAATTATAAACGCCCAGAAAATGTAACTTGGAGAGGGAGAAAACCCTAAAGAAGGAAACCTTGGAGGACAAGAAAGGATCATCTATAAATAGAGGAAACATCATCTTTCCACACATATGCTTACATTATAGCAATAATATCATAAAAAAATATATAACTGACTTGATCGTCGGAGCTTTCCCGCCGGGATCTTCCCCCGGCGTTGCAGGTGTACCTGTTGAAGAACCCTTTCGGGCATCAAAGACGAAGGAAGTCTCACGGACAAAATCAACTAGTATCATTCTTCTTTGGATACACCCATTGTCCGGCCAAGGGTCCCTCGAGTTGCGTCACAATGCCGACGTCAATGAAATAATGTTCTCTTAATCCAGGCTGGAGAAGCTTCAAATACTCGAACAACTGTTTCGTACGTATGTCGGAGGAAGCCGATAATGGCTTGTATAAATGGCACAAACAGAAAGTATCCAACGTGCTCCTATCTCTATCATCCATATCGAGCGTTGTACCTAGTATTCGAAAAAACAGCTCCCTAACTAGCTCAGAACCCCGCCTCAAATGAGAAAAGCATACAGAATGTCCGACCACCGACAAACCAACCAACGTGCTCACATCATGGAGGGTGATGGTAATCTCTCCAACAGTAAAAAGGGAACGTGTGGGTAGCCGACCGCCATTTCTCTAAGAAAGCTCTCAGTAAATGACCGTCTACAACCTTGTACTAAGCATGTACAACTAGCATCAATCCGGCTCTCTCCACGACCTCAGTAATAATCAGCGCCATCACCCAACTCTCCAACTTTCTCGTGCGATTGTGAATTCGAAAATACGTGCGCTCCTCTCTAGTCAAAACTCAATAAGATATGTGTTCACCGAAATCCATGATCAAGTTCAATATTTGTTGACCTCTAGGTGAGTCCTGTTGGCTGCTCGAAACACCGACTCCAGTGGTTAATAAAACCGGTGGAGCGGCTAGAGCCGGTACGAGAGATGGTATAGTGGCCGATGAAGAAGGACCTTTGTCAGGCTACGGATGTGTACGCTGTCCCGGGGCATTAAACGGGGCATGAGGATTGGTCTTGGTCTTGCCCTTGCCCTTGCCCTTCTGGGTCAGGGCCTTTCTCTTGCGGTTAGAAGCGGTTTGTGGTACCTCTACTGGATGTAAAAAATATAAAAACACATATGTAACAATTTAAACAAATTGGACAAAAAACAAAAGACAAAAAAAAAAAAAAAAAAAAAAAAAAAAAAAAAAAAGTAACTTTCCACATGTTAATGTCGATTTGTTTGAAAAAAATGACAACTCATTGTCGAAAAGTAGCTACCAATCCACACCACCTAAATGTCGACTTTTTGCAAAAGTTTGAAATCTTAATGTCAAAAATTATCTAAGAATCGAGATAAGATGTCTAGATGTTGCAGAAATTCGACCTACCACAAACTGTCGAAAATACACATAATTTCGACGTGTAGATGTCAATTTTGTTTTTTGAAATTTGACATCTACAGGTCGAAGAAAAGTGGCTATATCCAAAACAAAACAAATTTCGACCAAATTCAACCAAGTCAAGTGCACCTGCCAACGGTATCAACCATTCGATGCTCAAAATCCAGATTTGTCCAATAACTATGCTACATTTTATAATTTAAGGAAGTTTGTAAGCATTAAAAAAATCACACTTGTTTAAAATATGTTAATAAACCCATGAATATAATATTGATATTAAATTTCTGAAAATTAACTATTTTAATAAAATATGGCTTACTAAAATTGGACGTGAACTTTTAATAATTGAGTATTTCTAACATATTACGACAATACTTCCGAAAAATAGGTTAAAATTTCAAAGAACTTATGAAATTGCTAAAAAAATGACATTTAACTTATGAAAAATGAAGTGTTTGCAATTTTTTTTACAAATAGATTATGAGCTTTTTTGTGCTCATAATCTATTTTTAAGTGTTTGCAAATGAACTTTTGCTTATGCTTCTCTTAAAATAAGCAAAACTTCAAAATCTCCAAACCTTAATCATTAATCACCCAATGGAGACATTCTATTCAGCGTACTCACGTCTCGTGTATTTACCGGAGGAAATTTGGAAGATGCGACAATTAAGACATCTAGTATCATCATCCTTGTCAATTCTCGTACCGTATCCAGTAGACACAGCTTGTGCTCTAGAAAACCTAGTAACACTTGACATATCAGCTGATTTTACTTTGGGTACCGAATGGAATTTAGTGGATAACTGAGAGAGTAGCCACTTCCCGACCCTCGAGTGCCTATTGCTTCGTCGTTGTTGGAAACTAATTGAGATTCCCGGAAGGCATTGGAGAAATTCTGACACTTGAACTCATTGAAGTTAATTAAGCGCTTTAGTAATGTCTCTATTGTGCAGTCGCTCGGCCAAACGGGTACAAGAGGAACAACATGATTTCGGAAACGATGCCCTTCAACTTCGCCTTTGATTATAGTTTTTTCTCAAAAAAAAAAAAAAAATTCTGATTGGTTTGTATTTTCACATTCTATGTTAAAAGATGGTTGTTTTTGAAATGGATGCAATTGAGAGTACAAGGGGGTAAAGTGATATTCAACCAAAGTACAAGGGGTAAAGTGGAATTTACCCAAAAAATGTTTGGTAAAAAAATTACAAAAAATCTTAATTTTTCAAAAAATAAGCTATTAGGGAGCTTATAAGATGTTTTTTGAAAAAGTACCTCCACCCCACCTTTTTTTGTTTAAGATTTTATTTGTTTATTTACTAAAACATTCAAAATACAAAATTACCTTCAAATACATTATTATATTACATGAATACTATATATATAATATCAAAACAACGTATTATTGTAATCAAGATTAATAATGAGTTAAAATATAATTATCATAATAATTGTAAAAAAATTCTCTATGTATATTTTATTGTATATAAAACTACCCGAATATTCTTATTATGTCAATAATAAATTATATTTCTTTAATCTATCAAAAAAAATTATATTTCTTTTATAAAATAAAAAACTTTATTTTATATTAATATATTAATGGGACAAAAAATAAAACTTTCACAAACCTTTTTAATTAAAATATTTTATTAAAAAAAATAGTCAAATATCATATCAACATAAAAAAATCATTTAGTTTATTTAATATAAAATTTCATATTATTATTTTTATTTGAAAAATTAATTTGTATATATTATAATAATATTTTAGGAACAAAAGTATTTGAGTCAAATAAGTTTAACAGTTATAATGTCGTCATGTACTTTTTTTGTCATTTTAGCAATAAACAAACCTTTTATTTCCGAACACCTAAACAACTTATAAGAACTAAAAGTAACTTATAAGCTACATATCCAAACACCTTCAAAAATAATTTTTAAAATAAGATTTAATAACTTATCAGCTTCTAAAACATCTTATCAAATGTATGAGCTTATAAGATGTTTTAAATAAGCTTAGCCAAACGGGCTTCTAATCTCAATTATGGATAACTGAAACTAGGCATTTCCCAAGGCTAATAAGCCTTGTCCTGCATAATTTTCGGTTTCTAGAAGAGATTCTAGACGCTATTGGAGAAATTCCAACACTTGAATTGATCGAGCTGAAGAATTGTCGCAAAACTCTTGCGGATTCGGTTCAAAGAATACAAGAGGAACAACAAGACTATGGAAACGACGCATTTCAAGTTCGTTGCCTGGATTGCGAATATTGATTTTAATTTCGATTACCTATTTGCATATTTGTCCTCCATTCCAGACCTACAACTTGGATAAAATCATTGTAAAAAAATATCTAATATAGTAACATGGACTTGGTCTTATCTTGCATAAAGTCAACGGTTGGAGTTGACTCTTGAACAGCCAATTAGTTCGCTGGATAGAAGTTGTACAACCTTATAACATTATTATTTTAGGCTAAATTACAACCACCCCTAAGGTATGGTCAATTTACGGAAAAAACTCATCTTGTTTGGATAATTACCTCTAATCCCCTCAACTACGATCTTTTCTTACACATCCACTCTTATGGTGTCAGCTTCAACATAATCATCTAAATTTCGTGGAATGTGCTCTAGTTTGTACTCGTTTTGTGTAAAAATACAGTTTCTGACGCACCACAATCTGATTTATACAAGCCGAAAAACACATATTATGATCATCTTGCTTCATAATGTGAAGTTCAAATGTGATAAAGCGGGTACAAAAGTGATAATATTCCATATAATCTCGAAAAATTCCACTAAATTTGAAACCGCAAAGATGGACGTGTAAGAATATTTATAATTGAGAGATAATTATAATTACCCAAATAAGAAGGGGTTTTTCATAATTTGACCATACCTAAAAGGGTGGTTGTAATTTACCCTATTACTTTATCATGTCCAGATCACATGTTCTACATATGAACGTGGGAATGATGCATTTTTGGAGGATAAGTGGTGTGCTACTCTTTGTGAGAGTGGGATACAAGTACAACTATCAAATTCTTTTTTCCCTTTAAATAAATATGGTAAATTACACATGCACCCCAAATGTATGCTAAAGTACTTTAAGGTCTCTGTGGTATTAGTAATTACAGCCCCACCCCTGAAACAACTACCGGAGCCAACATTTCATCCAATATGCACTATTTTTGTTTTCCGCGGGGCCGTTAATGCTACCATAGATGAAAATTTATAAATTTCATATAAAATAATAAGGATTTAAGAAATCCCGAATGACTCATTTCACCCCGGCCCTAGCTCTATGTTACCTTCACCACTGTTTGAAACTAATTGTCTGCCCTAACGGAATAAGTTATCCAACGCATTATACATTCCGTTAGGATTTCTAACAATGTTTTAGGACCAATTGTAATTACCACTACTATAGGACCTTAAAAAGTTATTTTAGCATACCTTAGGAGTGTAGGTGCAATTTGTCCAAATAAATATTGATGAAATATCTTCTGAAATAATGCTGGCGCATTTTTCGGGATTAACATTCTTCAAAGGGAAATTGAAAAAAAACTAATTTCCAAAATGTGACAGAAGATAGTGATCAATATAATATGTTGACTTCCTTGAAACAAGAAATGGTAGTAAGAGTTTATTTTATAGGAGATCAGTTGACTTTTAATTCTTTATTGGTAAAAGACTAGTTCTCCGTTAATTGCTTCTACAAAAACAATAAACATAAATTAAATAAATAAGAACAAGTTGGTACCTCACTTGTTATTTAAACCGGGTTCCAATCGAATCGAATAAGGCATACAAATTAAGAGCAAGAACAAAAAAAAAAAAAAAAAAAAAAAAAAAAAAGAAATCCGAGATATGGCCGAGGTAGCAATCTCGTTTACGGTCGAAAAGCTAGGTAGCATGTTGGTTCATAAGGTGGCTTTCCTGCAAGGCGTGGCGAAAGAGGTCAAGTGGCTGAAGGAAGAGCTCCAGAGAATGCAATGCTTTCTGAAAGACGCGGAGGAAAAGCAAGGCAACGACGAGCTGATACGCAAATGGATATCCGATATCAGAGACGTGGCCCAAGATGCCGAAGACGTCATCGAGACTTTCATTCTCAAAGTCGACGCCCCGAGAAGGAGATCAAGAGGCCTTCTCGAGACGTGCGCGTGCTTACCCGACCATGTCTACCACCTGGATATGGTTGGAGAAGAGATCGAGTCCATCCGGTCTAGGCTCAAAAACATCAGCAAAGGCTGCGACAGGTACGTTCGTTGTATATATGGGTGGTAACCGTAACAGATTTTTCGATTTCCGTCGATTCTAATCCGAAATATTGTTTTTTTTTTTTTTTAATGCAATCAACATATATTTTATGAATATATTTCTTAAATTAGATTAATTATTACAAACTTCGTCTCTAGTTAATCTTGGTTTTAGGGTTTTGCTAGAATATATTTTATTCCGGATTACGAGCATTCTGATTTTTGACTTTTTATGGATAAAATTTGCTATATATATGATATTCTGATTTTCGGTTTTTCAATTTTTTTATTATAGGAATTGGAATTTATATGAGATTCTGATATTAATTTCGAAAAAAAAAAAAAAACCTCTGAGTGTTTCGATTTTTTTTATAGGAATTGAAATATATATAAGATTCTGGTTTTCAATCAAATTTTAATTTTTGTATATAATTCAGAATATTTCATTTTTTTCTTCTTCTGAAATTACACTTATAATGTCAATATTATTTAGTATGTATTCTATATTTGAAGTAACTAAAAATTGAAATATTCTAAAGTCCGCCAATTCTGATAGGCAAATTTCCAATTTTGGAACACTTTTAAAATTTTCACATCCAAAAGTTAGAATTTTTAGAAAGTCTAAATTCTGATCAGACCGGTCCGGTTTTCACCCCTAGGTACGGTATTCAAAGCCTTGGCGAGCGGACTATGACTACTATGACGTCGTCTGAAGGCGTTCAATGGCGACGCCAATTGTCTCATTGGCAAAAAGACAAAGACGTGGTGGGATTGGAGGCGGACGTTGAATCGGTGCTTCACAACATTGTTTTTACGAAAAGGAAAGGCCTTGTCATTGGCAGCATTGTGGGCATGGGTGGTATCGGAAAGTCAACGCTTGCTAGGATAGTTTACAACAACGACACGGTCGTCAATCAATTCGAGCGTCGTGCTTGGGTTTGCATTTCAAGTGAATTTAGCCCAAAAGAGATCATCAAGGAGGTCGTGTTGCAGCTGCTGGAGCCCTCTGAAGATAAGTTGAAGGTTCTTGAGATAATGGAGAGGTCGCCGTTGGAGCACCTCAAATCGATGGTTCACGAACGCCTGCAAGGCAAACCATATTTCATAATTCTCGACGATGTATGGGAATCAGCTCATTGGCAATCTCTTACAAGTGCTTTTCCTAATGAAGAAGGTACAATTTTTTTTATACATTTATAATTTTGTACAAGTAATCCTCCACGAACAGGATTATCAAAACTCTTACGATTTACGATTTGATTTGAATATTGATCTCAAGTATATTGATCAATGTGATTAGATATAATGTGTTATGACAATGCTAATTAGTTATATATTTGAATAGATAAGACAAGCATATTGCTCCTCACAACTCGCAAACTAAGCGTCACGAAAGATGATCAGATATATGCTCATAAGATCAAAACCCTCAACCGCGAAAAGAGTTGGGAGTTGTTCCTAAAGAAGGCATTCACTGGCAACAATGGACAATGCCCCGAAGAATTGAAGGCTACCGCGAGAGACATCTTGCAAAAGTGTAACGGTCTACCTTTAGCAATCACCGTTATGGGAGGCCTATTAAAGAAACACGGGCAATCCAAGGATGAGTGGACCAAAGTTCTCAAAGGGATGAACTCTCACTTGAAAACAGGTGAAAGCAGTGTGTCTCATATAATGGAACTGAGCTACCATGATTTGCCTCCGCAGCTCAAGTCGTGCTTCCTGTGCCTGGGCTTCTTCAAGGAAGACGCGACTATTCGCGCGGAGAAATTGATCCAAGTGTGGATTGCACAAGGCTTGATCCCACCAAAGGAAGACAAAGACGAAACCATGGAGGAGATAGCAAGGGATTATCTAGACGAGTTGATCAATCGGAACATGATTCAAGTGAAGGATACAACCAAAGATGATCGCGTGAAAAACTGCCTCATCCACGATTTTCTTCACGATCTAGCCATCACAAAAGCCAAGGAGGAAATACGTCTTGAGATCCTAAGAGATGAGGGAGGGGGTTCTCAATCCTCACAGAAATCTCGCCATCGTGTTATCTACTGTGGCACTGAGACGCCCGTTTTCTCTTCTCAGAAAAACAACCATATCCGCTCTCTTTTCTTCCACGGACACGGCAATAACATTTTTGGCGGTTCAACTGTTTGGAAGAATTTTCAACTCCTCAGGGTACTCGACTTTGAAAACGCTGGCTTGGAATTTTTGCCTGACGCAATTGGCGAAATAGTCGGATTAAGGTACTTGGGGTTAAGAAACAACGACATAAAGGAGCTTCCAAGCTCGTTTAGTCGCCTTAAAAACCTCCAGGTCCTTGATATATCACTCAACTTCTCAATGGAAGTGCCAAACATTATATGGAAAATGATTAGTCTGCGTCACCTTTATATGTCCAGAATCACTTGTCAGGCGTCTCCAAAAGTCGACTACCTCAAGAATCTCCAGACATTGACCTACATCCCGACGCCTCGTTGGACGCGCGAGCACACAACACGAATGACCAGCCTCCGTAAATTGGGCTTAGAGCTAGATGAAAAGTCGGATATAATCAATCTGTTCGACTCACTAGCTATGCTGGCGAATCTTCTGTGTTTAAACCTCCGATGGTATGGCAACCACGACATATTGTTCGAGGACGGGCTACGCAAGCTGCCTTGTCTCACTCAACTCAAACTGCAGGGCAAAATGACCGAATTGCCCACCGTCGGTAATTTCCCTCCAAATCTTTCTCACTTGAGTTTGATTCACACGGCTCTTGATAAGGATCCGATGCCCGTATTGGAGAAGCTGCCCAAGTTGGTGTACCTCAAATTGGATGGCGCGTTCACCGGCGAACAAATGACGATCACGAGAGATGGGCTACCGAAACTCAATGTCCTCTCACTCAGGGAGCTGATTAAGCTGAGGAAAATACGCGTCGGAGCGCGTGGAATGTCGGATCTTAGAAGATTGGAAATCCATAGATGCCCTCATCTCGATAATCTTCCCGGAGAGCTCGAATTTATGGAGCAGCTCGGGGAGTTGAAAATGGTGACGACCGAAGAAATCGTATCGAAGCTACGATATAATCATTCACGCATTTTCTCCCGTATACCATCTCTGCATCTAGTTAGTGTTACATTAAAAGATTGAGTTGATACAATAGTAGCATTTGAAAAAAAAAAAAAGTGTACCTGTAACACTTAAAAGTCTGTAATTCTTTATTTTTTTCCCTTTTTTTTGTGTGTAATTTTATTGAATACATGTATGTTTGAAAAATGATTTAAATTTTATTTGAATAAAATAACTGTTACAGAAATATATTTAGTAATTAATTTAATGTACTATATGCATTTTTTAAAATATGTTTTAATTATGTTAACAAAATAAGAAATAGACACTTCAATAGATATGTAGGCTATAATTACAATTTTTAGTGGCCTAAAGTTAAAACTTCAGAAAATTCATTTCGTAATTATTTTTGATAAATTATGTGCAGTTTTAATTTTTTTTTTTTAATTACATTATTAGTCAATCAAATAAATTTGCTTATTATAATATTTTTGTGGGGAAAATACCGTTTTCGCCCCACAAGTTTGCACCAATTACATATTTGGTCCTCTACTGTTCGAAAAACATATTTGGTCTCTCATGTTTAAAAAACTCAACACTTGGTCCTTTCCGTCAATCTTTCGTTTGTAGAAACGGAATCAAGGTGTGCTCGTCACTGCCTTAACTGGTGAACAAATAAAATATCAACCGTTCACCAATTAATTTGACAAATTCTTGAAATATTTTTAAAAAATATATCCGACGATTTTTTTTTAATTAAGTTTAAATTATAATTTATTAATCGTTATGATGACTTCAACTCTATTAAAAAAAATAGATTCATCAAATAAACGATGGATGATGCTGATATTAGTAATCTTTGAGATTACAATGAGACTTTCAGTTACAAATGTACAAAATAAAGCACGAAGAATACGGCGGCTTTTTTGAAAAATATTGTCTAACATTCACACTTTTATAGTTAAAAATTAAATTAAATTAATAAATATACAAATATAATATAATTATTATTAATAATATGAATATTAATAATTAATTAATAACAATTAATAATTAAAATTGATAGTAAATTGTAAGAGTCAATCAGAGACTATTTTGTAGAAGAAAAGAGCTGAGTTTTAATAATTAAAGTCAATGGTCCAGTGACCAATTGCAACTACACAAGAAATTGTCAAAATTGATTTCTTTAATAATGTCAAAGGTTGTCCAATATACTTGTATTATACACAAAATAAATTTAAATTAATTGCTTAACATGTCTACGCAGTGAAAATACCGGTCTACCATTTTCTAAACAGGTAAAAAGTGGTGTGCTAAAACACTGTCCACCTGATATAAACAACCATTTTTAATCAACTTTACTCACAATTTACAACTTTTAGAAATAAACACTTAAAATCAACTTAACTCACAATCTATAACTTCTACTTTTAAATAAGCTTTTGCAAACACCACCATAATCTGAAAGTAAACTTGTGAAAATCGACAGGAACCGTATGAAAATTGAGAATTTTTTGAAATTGTCTGAAAGTTAAAAATTGAAGCAACTAACTTATATCCCATGGACTTGCCATGCGGTGTTCACATACCCGACGGCATTGTTTCTAGAGACTTATAGCTATTAAAATTGCAGACATATTTTCGTAAAATGAAGACGCGAGCGACTTTTATGCAAACAAAAAATAAGCATATCCTTTTTGCTAATACAAATTACATCGGAGGCACTGTTAGCAAATCCCCCGTAAACTATACTATACTATAATGCTACGAGGAAGCAAGAAAATTACGTTACGTAATTCACGAAGTAGCCATTCTATGACGTGGCACAGTCCATCCAACTAGACCCCGGTATTTTGACAAGACCCTTCTCTTCGATCCCTACCCTCAATCTTTTAGCATCGTCCCATCTCCCGGAAGATGCATATACATTAGCAAGAAGAGAACGATAACCGCTACTATCGGGCTCGAGCTCGAAACAATTCTTTGCAGCAACTTCTGCAAGTTCGACATTGTTATGCAAGCTGCAAGCAAGCAGCAAAGCACCCCACACTCCCGCATGTGGCTGCATCGGCATTCTCTTAATCAACTCATAAGCTTCTTCTAATCGCCCAGCCTTACCCAAAAGATCAACCACGATCGAGTAATGATCCTGCGACGGGACAAGTCCGTGCGTTTCCATTGACTTGAAGCAACGGTAGCCTTCTTTGACCAAACCGGCGTGACTATAGGCGGTCAATATTCCGGTGAAAGTGACCGCGTTCGGGATAATATCGGCATCCATCATCTCCTCGAATAGCTTGATTGAATCTTTCGCTCGACCGTTTATACCACATGCTAAAATCATTGCGGTGTACGCGACTAAATCCCTGTTTTGTAAGCCGTTGAATAGTTTATAAGCTTTTTCGATATCTCCACACTTTGCGTACAGGTCAATGAAAGATGTGGCCAAATGATCGTCCATTCGGATCCCTGATTCTCTCATGTACGATTCGATCCAAGCACCGTACTTTGAATCTCCCAGTTGAGAGCAAGAGGAAATAACACTTGCTAACGTCATTTTATCGGGCTGAAAATTAACGTTTGGCTTCAGCATTTCGTCGAACAACTGCAGTGCCTCTTTTGCCCGATTGTTCTGAGCGAAGCACGCAATCATGGCGTTGTACAAAAGCAGGTTTTTCTCGATCACTTGATCGTAGAGATCTTTCGCAGACTCTACGTTTCCATACTTTGAGTAGGCGGAAATCATTGTGATATACGAAACAATATTCCTCTCCGGCATTGCATCGAAAAAGTTGCGCGCCAACTCTATTTTACCACATTGTATGTATCCAGTAACCATCGTGTTCCAAGAAGCGGAACTCCTCTCCGGCATTCGACGAAACAATTCATACGCCTGCTCCATATCCTTCGCTCTAGCCAAACCCGAAACCATGGAATTCCAAGATATCACATCTCTCATCGGCATTTCATCGAACACATTCTGTGCCATTGCCATGTCCCCATACTTCACATAACCATCTAACATCGAGTTCCAAGAAACCACATTTTTCTCAGTAATTTCATCAAACAGTTTACGGGCAATCATCAAATCCCCCATTTTCAAATAGAAATCGACAAGAGCGGTCTGAACAAAAACAACGTTCCGAAAACCAAACTTCTCCACTTGCCCATGAATCATCAACCCACCTATTTGGCATAAAATCTTAGCACAAGCCTTGAGCGCAGAAGATACGGCAAACGTGCTTGGAAAAAGCCCGGAGCTATGCATCTGTACGTAGAGAGAGAAAGCTTCTCTAAACTGCCCATGTTGAGAAAGATAACGGATTGTACACGACGTCGAGAAAACATCCGGGTTTTGCATACGCCGGAGTATCGATTTGACGTAGTGAGAGATTCTTGGAGAGTAATGGGATGAATATTTGAGGGTCTGACGGATTAATAGTGGCTCGAGATTCTTGAGACTGTTGATTAGTATTTGGCAGTGGAGCTCTTTTGCTTGATCGGTGGTGAGAGATTTTTGCAGCAAACTTGTTAATTTTGAAACTTTCATTGGGAACAAATAGTATAGAGATGTTGAATATTAAGAGAGCCGATGTGAATCATTCTCACTTTCATGAAAATTTACGCCTTCAACCTTTGGCACATTATATGATCTCATTCTTAAAGAAATTCACTAATGCTATTCATAGTTCAACTTTTACTATCTTGCAGTGTATTTTTTCTTCATTTGTAATTTTTTTTAAAGGAAATTCAAAATCCTCTTAAACTCTCTTCAACCCCCTTCGAATTCCGGCGAACTAAACGAGCAATCCGATAACGACTTGAAGTAAAACTCGAACTTCATTTCGTCAATGCAATGTTTTATTGTTGTATTATTAACAAATTACATCAATTAGAGGTTGGTTTAGGTCGTCGATTCGATGGAAATCGAAAAAAAAAAACCGTGTTTCGTGCAAAAAAACACGAAATTAAACTCTTTATTTCGTGATTTTTTGCACGAAATGCACGTTTTATTTCGGATTCCGTTTTGTTTCGTGTAGGTCTACAATAAATTAAAGATTATATTTCGTGAAGTTTCTCACGAAATATAAGCTTTAATTTTGTTGTATCATACACGAAACTTTTTAAATTTTTTACAATTTCTCTTTCGTTTCGTGTAGAACATCATGGGATGTCACCTTACATTTCGTGACTTTTCATACGAAATGGAAGCTTACATTTCGTGGTGTTCTACACGAAACAATGCATTTTTTTTTTGTTAACTAATAATTATTATTTATGCATTAAAGTAACTTGTTTAATGTCTTATTTGGCAGATGTGTCGCAAAGGCAAGTCAAAGGCACTTATGCGAGCAATTCGTGCTGAGGTCGAACATCAAGAGCGGGAATGGATAACTATCTCTACATGACGTTGGAGAAAAATAAAGAGATTTGCTGCTGGTGGGACATCGTGTAATGCCCAATCATCTCCTACATGGCCAATAATAAAAATATTGCATCATGCATATAGTTAGAAATCATTATTCGTGATGCATGATCACGACTACTTGCTACACATGCGCCTTAGTTGTGTTTTAATACGTGATCGAATACTTTTCTTAAAATGTGCTAATGCATATACATGTTATTGAACTTCTACTTTATGATTTCATATGAACTTAAGTGATTTATTGCAGTCGGAAGCTCAGTTCATCGGTTAAGAGGGGATCAATGTGCTAAACGGTCATATACTTGTCCTAATTGCATTTCTACATATCAATTACATTTTAATATGATTAATTCCATACATAATTACTTGAATCACATATTAAGCTAAAATCAATGGTATGCAAAAGGGTGCAATTTGATTAGTTGGTTGACTATAACTGCGCTTTTTGTGAAAGTCGAGGGGAAGACGTTATGCATTGTTTGTTATATTGCTCGTTATCTCGACAAATATGGGCTATGAATGATGTTCCGCGGTCAAGTTATTTAACGACGAAAACAGACATGAACGAATGGATGAGAGAAATCAGAACCAACTCCGAGACCATTATTGTCGAAAAATGTGTTCTACTTTGTTGGCAAATATGGAATGCTAGAAACAAGAAAATTTTCGAAGGGGATGTTCCAAATGCCATGGATATTGCAAATCTATCGAAGAAGTTGTGGAGCGAAATACATGCACCCACAATAGAGGTTTTGCGTCCAAAAATTCAGAGGACTAATGAAGATGGGCGATGGCTACCCCCTAACCACGATGAAGTGAAACTAAATTTTGACGCAGCAGTGAATAATGTTGACGGTGCATGCAGCCTACGTGTGATTGCAAGATCAAGTACAGGCGCATGTCTGGAATGGCTACCTAGAAGGATAAAACAACATTTGGATCCGACTTCGGCGGAGGCTAAAGCAGGAATAATGGCAATGGAGATGACTAAAATCCACAATTGGGAAAATATAATATTAGAAGGCGATTCCTTGGTCGTAATATCAGCCATTAAAGATGCCTCGAGTTCTCGAGCAGAATATGGTAACATTATAGCAGAGGTTGGGAGAAAGTTTATCGAAGTTTAGAGCTCAACACGTTCGGCGAAATGGTAATAAAGCAGCCCACGAAATAGCGGTTTTGTCAAAGAAAAAACCATATTTTGTTCATGAGTTACCTGAAGTAGATTTGGATATTGTATCATCTGATATGTCTTGAATGAAAAACTCTAATTTTTTCGCATCGTGATTTATATTACATCCGTCTCTTATTCTTTTATTTTCAATGGTTCACAGTTTGGCTCGATTCACCCATCCAGAGGCCTTCGCCAAGGCGATCCTCTTTCGCCATATTTATTTATTTGCTGTGCAGAAGCTTTGATTCTTATGATCCACAAAGCAGTGGCTGATGGTAACTTTCAAGGCATCAAGATTGCTCCAACGGCGCCCACGATCTCCAACCTGTGTTTTGCCGATGATACACTACTTTTTTACCAAGCGACCGAGGCAGATACTCGGACTATGAAAGGAATCCTTGAGACATATGCAAGAATTTCCGGTCAAGAAATTAATTATGAAAAAACGACCATGTGTTTCAGCCCAACCACCCCCCAAACAATTAAAAATTCAATTCATGGTATTTTGGGATTTCAAATAGTTGATCGTCATGACCAGTATCTTGGCATGCCTGCTTCAATGGGCCGACCTAGAAAGGATATCTTTAACTACCTTCGAGATCGACTTTGGGCCAGAATTAGAGGATGGGAAAACGGGAATGGTAAACCTATGGCATGGATGAGCTGGAGTAAGATGTGCTTGCCCAAAGCTAAAGGTGGTCTTGGGTTCCGGGATCTTAAGAGCTTTAATCTCGCTCTCCCAACCTGGAGGATCCTTACAAACCTGGATCTTCTTATTTACAAAATTCTTAAGGCGCGATACTTTCCAAATAGCGAAATTCTTACAGCCTGGGAAGAGAGCCGTCCATCGGCTACGTGGAAATGTATCCTTAAGGCTCGGGAACATCTTGTGGGTGGGATCAGACGAAGGATCGGAGACGGTAACAATACATCTATTTGGGCAGACCCCTGGCTAGCAGATGATGGAAATTTCAAAATTATTACACGTAGACCTTTTCACACAGCAAAACCAGATAGAGGTTCAGAATTAATTGACGACACGACCGGTTTTTGGAACAAAACCCTCATCGATGACCTCTCTTGGCCGGTTGACCGCGATCATATCCTTGCAATTCCGATAGGAGCTCGTCGAGTGGAGGATATCTGGATTTGGCACTATTCGAATCATGGGAGGTTTACGGTGCGCTCGTGCTATCACAACATAATAGCGGGCGCTCGCAACTCGGCACAAGATCAAGCTAATAGAGATGGCTCGGGAAGTGGTGCGGTATCTAGAAAGTGGGACAAGATTTGGAGCATCTCACTTCCCCCGAAAATTAGATTGTTTTTATGGCGCGCATGTTCAGACATTTTACCGACTAGAGCTGAACTTTTTCGACGAAAAATACACGACCGTCTAATCTGTATGCATTGCGACGAGAGGGTAGAAACATTCTTGCATGTAGCTCTACGTTGTAATGGTATGGATAAGTTATGGGCTGAGCAACCGTTTGCACTTGACAGTAGTTCCGACTTCCTCTCTACATGGGACTGGTTTGAGAAAATGCAACTGAAATGGAACGAGGATAGTCTACAGCTTGCAATAATCATAACTTGGAAAGCTTGGGAATCTAGGAATAATGAGATGCATGGAGAACCAAGCCTCAAGCCGCTGGACTTTACCAACTGGAGTCGATCGTATTTGGAGTCGTATAAACAAGCACAATTTCCACCGGGGATTAATATGACCCAACGCCATCCCAGCAGATGGAAAGCTCCACCAGTGGGTCTTATTAAAATAAATGTTGATGTCGGTTTTCCAAATGGGATGGACTTTTATTCTACTGCGATGGTGGCTCGAGATTGGAACGGAAAGTGTTTATGGTGGAGTGTATTGCAGCGTCCGGATAGACCAAAAGTGATCGAAGGCGAAGCTCATGCGATTCTTCATGCACTTACCACGGGTCGGAGTAGAGGCTGAGAAGAAATTATTGTTGAGGGAGATTGTCTGCCCATCATCGAAGCCCTCACCAAAGGCGACCTTCTCGAGTCAATGTATGGTGCTTTCGTGGAGGAGAGCCTGGCTCTGTCCAAATCTTTTAGAAACTGCACCTTTTCATTTGTCAAACGAAATGGTAATAGACTAGCTCATTTGTTAGCTGCTAAGGTGGATTTATCTTGTACTGACGATGAGAACCTTTCTTTTATGTATGGCGAATGATGCCAAATAAAAATAATTTGTTTTCAAAAAAAAAAAAAAACAGATTATGTAAATTTTCGGAAAATAATTTTAATTTGGGGAATGTCATTGAAAATTTTCAACTAACTTCTGGATAGAATTTCTGAGAATCTTATATATAATTCAATTCAATTTTCGAAAAACAATTGATATGAGAATTTGGCAGATGAGATAAGAAGTAGAAGAATAGGAGAATAGAAGAATCAAGAGGAAGAGTAATTGAGTAGGAAGGTAATTTTATTCATATCCCGTACTGCATACGTCCCAAGCTATTTATACAATCTACTGGTAAACTAACTATGAGAAATAATAGCAATTAAAAAAAGGAAACAACTCCAAAAGAATAGGGAACCACTAATCACGTGAGTTCCATTTATTTAGCAACTAATTAACAACCATGACCAAGTCTTCTCCAGTCCAAGTTGGCAATTAAAACATATCATTCCCTTCCCCTTTACGAATCCTTGTCCTCAAGGATGATGTTTGGGTAGGACTTTGAAAATTGCCATTGATTTTCCCAAGTTGCGTCTTCAGGTAGAGCACCAAGCCACTTAACCAAAATTTCAACTTTTGGTCGATATTTCCCCTTCTGTATAACGCGACGATCAAGAATTGCTTCAGGCTGTGGGAGAATTGTTGATGAGTCAGAGATAGGTGGCAGTTGAGGCGAAATGGGAGGAGTTGAACCTATATGCTTCCGCAGCAAACTTACGTGAAAAACATTATGGATTTGCGAACCAGCTGGGAGGTTCAGCTTATATGCAACTGGACCGATTTTCTCGATTATTTGGAATGGTCCAAAGTAACGAGGTGAAAGTTTAAGAGATCGTCGAAAAGCCACGGATTTTTGGCGATAAGGTTGTAACTTCAAATAAACATGATCTCCCACTGTGAATTGAACATCCCGGCGATGTCGATCAGCCTGACTCTTCATTCTATCGCGAGCTTGCAATAGATTAAAACGCAAGTCACGCAAAATAGAGTCCCTATCGCGTAGATACTCATCTACCGCCTCAATCCGTGAAGTGCCTGGGATATATGATCCCACGTTGGGAGGGGAAATGCCATACACTGCCTCAAATGGTGTTACTTTGGTCGATGCATGGACCGATGTATTGTAACTGAACTCAGCCCACGGAATCCACTCAACCCATTTTCGTGGCTGGTCTCCAGCGAAGCAACAAAGATATTGTTCTAAGGTGCGATTTACCACTTCGGTTTGGCCGTCGGTTTGTGGATGATAACTCGAACTCATATCGAGTGTAGTACCTTGGAGTCGAAACAAAGTCTGCCAAAAAGAACTCACGAATACCTTGTCACGATCACTAACTATGGAAGTTGGAATCCCGTGAAGTCGAACGATATTGGCGATGAAAACCTTAGCTACTGTAAGAGCTGTATATGGGTGTTTCAACGGAATGAAATGAGCATATTTAGAAAGTCTATCCACCACGACCATGATTACAGTAAACCCATTTGAGGGGGGCAACCCCTCTACAAAATCCATGGATACTTCCGTCCATATGCGATCTGGAATAGACAATGGTTGTAACAATCCGGCAGGCCTCATGCAATCTGTTTTAAAGCGTTGACAAGTCTCGCATGTTTGTAAGTATTGCTTTACTGCACGACTCATATTAGACCAAACAAAAGAATGCTTAACTCTAGCTAAGGTCTTATGAAACCCAAAATGACCACCTACTTGATTTTCCTGGCCTTTTTTGTATTCAATGACGTAGTCATATCCAAGAATTTTGGGCAGCCAACGTGTTTGAGCTGGAGTTGTTATCCGCTGCTCCAACAAATACTTGAGACTTCTTTGGTCTGTTCGAACGATGAACGGCTTGCCGATTAAATAAGGTCGCCACTTACGGACTGATTTAACAATAGCAATCATCTCCTTCTCGTACGTGGACAATGTGAGTGCTGACCCTTTAAGAGCTTCACTGAAATAAGCAATTGGCCGATTATTTTGTGACAATATGGCACCGATTCCAAGTCCACTTGCATCATATTCTATCACAAATGGCTTTGAGAAGTCAGGAAGATTTAATATCGGCGGTGAGGTCAAGGCTTGCTTCAACCGATTAAATGCCTTGGTCGCTTCTGGACTCCATCGAAAGCCTTCCTTCGTTAGCAATTGCGTCAATGGTGCCGCAATACTTCCAAAGTGTTGGATAAATTTTCGATAATATCCCGCCAGGCCTAAGAATCCACGGAGTGCCTTGGTTGTCGTCAGTGTAGGCCAATTGAGAACAACTTGTATCTTGGCTGGATCGACAGCCACTCCTTTCTCTGAAATAATGTGTCCCAAGTAATCGACTTGTGTTAAGCCAAATCTACATTTTGATTGCTTTGCAAATAATTGATTAGTGGATAAAATTTTGAGTGCAATCTGCAAATGTGAAAGATGATCAGCCCAAGATTTGGAATAGATCAATATATCGTCAAAAAAAACCAAAATAAACTTCCGTAGATATGGTCGGAATAGATCGTTCATCAAACTCTGAAATGTGGCGGGTGCACTAGTGAGCCCAAACGGCATGACCATAAACTCATAATGCCCTTCATGTGTCCGAAATGTTGTTTTTGGAATGTCTTCCGACTTAACTCGAATTTGATGATATCTAGATCGTAATCCAATTTTGAGAAGAATTTTGCCCCATATAATTCATTTAGCAATTCGTCAATGACCGGAATTGGATAGCGATCTTTGATTGTGATGGAATTTAGTGCCCTGTAATCCACACAAAAACGCCATGTCCCGTCAGCTTTCTTAACCAACAATACCGGCGAGGAGAACGGGCTGGTGCTTGGTCGGATCAGCCCCCCTTGCAAGAGTTCTTTCACTAATTTTTCAATCTCAGCCTTCTGGTAATAAGGGTAGCGATAAGGTCGCACACTGATTGGTTCGGCATTGGCTTGTAAGGTAATACGATGGTCATGCGATCGCTTAGGTGGCTCAGTAGGGAGTGCAAATACTTGTGCAAATTGATCAAGAATCCCCTGCAATTCATACGGGTATATATTTTTTCCACTATTAGTTTCCAATGACTCAATCTGAAGCAGAAATCCATTACCTCGCATGCTATAGAATTCTTTATCGGTAAGAGCTGTGGCATTTGTTCGCCTTAGGCCTTGAAAGGTATGTGGAAATCCTTTAACCTTGAAAGTTATAGTTAGCCGTTTGTAGTCGGTTTCAATGGGTCCAAGAGTTTCTAGCCATTGTACACCGAGAACCATTTGACAAGCTGCGACCGGAAGAACGTAGTAATCGGCTGTGACGGCTTGACCTTGAATGTTCAGTGTAAGGGCTTGGCATTGTCCTGCACAGTCTATTTTCTCACGATTTGCAACTATCACCTGAAACTTCTTATCGCGGCTTACAGGTAATCTAAATTGAGACACGATACTATGATCAATAAAATTGTGAGTACTACCTCCATCAATGAGTACGGTAATATCCTTGTTCTTTAGTTTATCGACGACACGAATGGTTTGTGGGTGTTCTGTGCCTGCCATAGCATGAAAAGAAATTTCTGGAAGTGCTTCAAAGAGATCGGGTTCAATGGGAGTGAGATCCTCATTGTGGCTTGAGTCTTCAGGATATGGGTTATCCTCGATCATAAATAGCTGGGGCCGCTCACATCGATGACCAGGTACAAATTTCTCGTCACAATAGTAGCATAATCCCTTTTCACGCCGCTCTCGTGCCTCTTGGTTGGTGATTCGACGAACGGAAATTTGGGCAGCAGGATTTAGTTTTCCTCGTTGATTGGGTAGAGGGCCTAGGATGCTCGTCGTGGGATTGCTTGTGGCTTTAGGAATTGCTTGGGTCGTTTGCGGGCGGAAGCTATGGGGAGTTTTTCGATGTAACATGTTCCTTTCCTCCACAAGTCTTGCTACACCTATTGCATCGACTAGGGATTTAGGTTGTTTAATTTTAACATCAAGGCGGATCTCATCGGACAGACCTGCAATAAAACAACCAATTAAAAATATTTCGGGAAGACCGTCTACTTGATCGGATAGTTTTTCAAAAGCTTCCTGATACGCTGCCACCGTTGTAGTTTGTCTAAGGCGGGTTAGAGCTTCAGAGGGATTTTCATAATCCGTTGGTCCAAAGCGGCGGATAACAGCCTTGGAAAATTCGTCCCACGTCAAGGGCCCTCGAAACTTTGTCAACCATCGATGCCACTGCAAGGCAATCCCTTCAAGATGAAATGAAGCAAGCTGAACTTGTTGTTCCGGGGAAATGTTTTGGAACTCGAAATACTGCTCAGCTTTGTAGATCCACCCCGTTGGATCCTCTCCGATAAATTTCGGAAAGAATAACTTAACGTGGTGAGTGTTTTGCTCGATGATGGTGTTCGTTAGGTTGCAGCGGTTGGATGTTTCCCCATATGAGAATGGATTGGTTTCAGTAGGTGATTGGGTTTGTTCCAATCGTAAGGCTTTTATTTCATTAAGAATTTGCTCAAATCGAGACTCGTGATTGGCTGGTATCTCACCAACTTCATTACGAAATTCGAAGTTCGATTTGTTGCGTGTCTCCATGGAGCGTGGCTCTGATACCACTGATATGAGAATTTGGCAGATGAGATAAGAAGTAGAAGAATATGAGAATAGAAGAATTAAGAGGAAGAGTAATTAAGTAGGAAGGTAATTTTATTCATATCCCGTACTGCATACTTCCCAAGCTATTTATACAATCTACTGGTAAACTAACTATGAGAAATAATAGCAATTAAAAAAAGGAAACAACTCCAAAAGAATAGGGAACCACTAATCACATGAGTTCCATTTATTTAGCAACTAATTAACAACCACGACCAAGTCTTCTCCAGTCCAAGTTGGCAATTAAATATATCAAAAATTTCAACTTTCGAACATGTTATCGAATCGGATTTGAAGTTTCAGTACTACATAATCGAAAAATGTTATGGAAATTTTGAATTGAAATTCCAAAATTTAAGACAAAGGGGAATTCCTGAAATTAATTAAAATTCTCAAATATCGAAATGCAAAAACTTGTTCCTTCCTTCCAATTTCCACCCAACTCGCACTCACCCGGCAATTCGATTCAGGGATTGTCGATCAAATGAAAATCTCTCCATGAATATGTAATTCATCGGCTGCATTCATTCATTCTCGATTTCAGCCAACACGTGAAAAAAATTACCATGCCCAAATTTCAAAATTCTCCGCGTATTAATCTCATACTACAACTACTGCTTCCGTTCATTCTTCAATCAACTCACCCAGTATCAGCGATCAGGTATAACAAACTCAAATTTCGTTTCAATTTTCTTACTTAGAGTTAATTTTTGAGGAATTTCTATGGTATTCTGATTTTTAGGGTTCTACTTTGTTCGCAAATTGTTTGATGTTGTTTTGCAGGAAGGATGTGAGCCTTCAACAGAAGCATTATTGTCAAACCACTGTTCAAGGAAGATTCTTTCTCACCGACGACAACGGTAATTAATCGAGTTTAAATACTCAAAATTAAAAATCGGTATTTCTTTGTAACGTTTCTGATTATAATCGATGTGCGTATTGCGTTATAACCGGTAAATGACAGTTGTAGCACTACACTGTAAACTATGAAAATGTGGTATGACTAAGGGGATTAACGGTAGTAACGAGAGCATGATTTATTGAGCTTTGGAATTTTCGTTATTTTTATACGATCTTTTTACTTTAAATGCGCCACAGTTAACTGTACTTTTTCATGATAGTTCCTTCTATCTAATATGATAAATTTCGGCATTAACATAACCTGTAGCTCGACTTATTTTACTAGTTGATGCCCTGCTAAATACAGAAAACTTATTTAAGTTGCTGGGCTGGATCATAATATATGCTAATTATGAGTGGCAATTAATTAATGATTAATGAATATGGACGAATGTGAATAATGGCTAACGAGGTTTCATTCTTGTAGGTCATGTATGCGATGCGTTCTCTCTTGACCCGCTATCTCATTGCTGCCCGGAAAAAGGAGATCAATTTTCGTGTCAGTGAGTTCTCTCTTTTAAATCTTTTTTTAAAACTTTTTACTCTTTCTATTTCATTGTTAGTGGTTCCGTTTACCATTTTGGGCAGCCCAAATTATTTCTTTCGCTCTTACTATTGTAGCACCAAGAATTAACATAAGTGGAAAATTTGAATTTAAATTGCAGCTACTAGCAAAAGTATAGTCCGTATTTCAAATTAAAAAAAGAAAAAAAAAACCCATACGCTAACACTGTAGTTTACGAAGTTTAGTTATTATAATGGGATGATGGAATGCCATTTTGAAATTTTTGTTGGCTACCTAATTACAAAGTACTTACGTACCTTCTATTAGTGGAAGCTTGATTCTTTTGTTCTTTCCTTTTCTGTATGCTATACTCGCAGTGGATGCAATCTTGTTTCTCAGTGTTGCAACTCATACGAGTTTTGTGTTTCATGCTGCTTGAATCCAGTTATGGTAATATTATCACTCTTTCTGCCCTTTTCTTCTTAGATAAGTCTTCTTATTTTTAACAGTTCCATTGTTTTACAGACTCGTATTGAACTGGCATTAAAGGTCAAAATAGCAAAGCCCGTCACTGCTGGTAAATTTTTATCTCCAATTCTCACAAAATTATTTATTGAAGTGCTAAATATGCTTCTGTTTGTAAGTTTCTTATCTTGGTCGATACTTAAGCTATCATTTAAACCTTTAAATTATCCTCACGACTGAGGATTATCGTTAAAACTTTCAGCATTTCATCTCGAACAGATCTAAACATAAGCCTTGCTTCGTTTCTGCACATGTTGGAGGCATGTATAGAATGAAGATTATTATATCATTTTTCATTGCGCGTGTAATTGTGTTTTTTTTCACCGTAATATGTATGAAATTCTTTGAAGATTTCTGATTTGGTCTATGTCATAGGAACCTATGGAAGTGTCTTCGATTTTTGTGCTGGGAGGTGTCGTCATAATTCTGAGAGTGTGGTATGCTTTCTTTATAAAGTTCTTGATTTATGATTTTAATCTGATGACTTCAATCACGACACACAAAGTAGGCTTGCATAGTATAGCTGTCGAACAGAAGCTCCTAATATCTGATCAATAATGTAATAGTGATCCGAAAACGGGTGTACATTCTTATATTCTTGGATTTTTTTGACTATTTCCAATTGTATTTGTACATATCTCTTTTTTTTTTTCTCGTATTAAATCATGCATCCTTCATTTTCTCCGTATATGTAATATCTTGTTACCATTTTTTTTGAATTTTCTGTAAATGTCTCACTGTTGTGGTGACCAGCGAACAAAAAAAAATGTCTACACTCAATGAAGGATGTTAAAGAATGGATTAGTTTGGAATTAGGTTCCCGGGCATTATATAGCCCGATAATTCAAACTAACATCCATTTTTTTCAGATAGTTTATTATACTATAGAGAACTCCTGCCATCGTGCTGAGAGAAACTATTCTTTGAGTCGACAATTTGTGTTCAATATTCAAAGTTGACTTTATTATTACCTTATGGTCCATTCTCATTTGATATATTGCAGGTTCATGAAAATGCATATATAAGTAATTTTCACCATTGTTTTTCCATCAGGTCTAATTCTTCAGGTCAGTGTATAAATGTTTTACTCTCTATTAGTAATGATAAAATGAAACTTCGATATTACTTCTTAAGCATATACACTGTTTCGTTTCTCTAATTTCAAAAATTCAGGTGGTTAAGCTGAAATACAGATACTTAAGCACTCATATTTAATATGTTTAACTGGTTCTATTACGCAATTTATACTTATATAGACATATGTCCAAGCAGTTATATATACTTATATTAAAAAAAAATATGATTCTTTAGAAGCTAAAACACTTTGTGCTTAATAGTAATTTTAATAACAGGATCTTCTAGCACACAACTCGAAGCAAGACTGGCTGGCATCAATATCATTATTGGAAGGTAAATTATACTAATGGTTCTTTTTAGTTTTGAAATTGTCGAACAACCTAATTGATAACAACAGATGCTAATCTCTGATATTTTGCTGCATGTTGTTAATAGACAAGGGGAATCATGTGACTCGGCGTGCAAGTCCGAGGGACAATCTTGTGTACCCAACAAACTTGCGTTACTTAATCAGTGCGACGTGTAAGTTTTTAATTCTTCTTAAATTTTACTACATACATATCATGATGCGTCGTTCCTTCTTTTGTTTTGGTTTCCATGCCTTAAGTCATAACGTAGTGTTAATATTTACGTGGTTCAACTTTGGTATACGGGTTAATAAAATCAATAAACTTAGGCCTTGTTTGGTTGCCAAGATAAGGTTAGCCAATATAAGATTAAATAATCTAATGAAACTCAATTTTACTACCATGGAAGGACCAATTAAAAAAAACTTTTTAAAAGGCAAGATAAGCCATGATAACATAATATTTGCGGGTCGACCCGAGAAGTTATTTAGGATACCTAAGATCAAACGAATTCAACTGTTTAGTTAATCATGCCTAATCTCCCCAACCAAATGAGGCATTATTGTGATTGTTCTCAATACAACCGTGAGGATCTATTATTAGGAAAAGGTGAAGTGACTAGTTAGAGTATCACGCATTTTGAGGAAACAAATGTATTTGGTTCATTCATCTTAAATAATATTATAAATCCAAAATATTTAATAAATTTAAAATCTGAAATGTTTTAGTATTTTAAGAAAAAACTATCTGAACTTTCTCAACGCTTGAACAAAATATTACAAGCTAAAAATATCTATAATAATGATGTAAATGTATAAATTATTTTTGCTTGAATGAATGATTCTACCAAAATATACATTAATCTACTATGGCCCCGTTTGGTTGGCAAGATTAAATTGTCTGATGGAACCCAATTATTTTATTGGAGCTCGCAATGTCCAACAAAAAAATAACACACTAGAAGGCAAGATAAGCCAAGATAAGGCAAGATAAGCCATGATTAAATAATTTTAGCGGGTCGACCCGGCAATTTATTGGGATACCAAACATCAAATTAAGTCCAATTATCTAGTTAAATTAACTTATCTTGGCAACCAAACGGGGCCCATGTGAATATATATGTTAAGAATAAATTAAAAACAAAATTTAAATATAGAAAAAGTGAGAAATAATTACTATTTTAACAAATTACTTGATATATGGAAGGTATTAATTTTAATAATCGTTCTGTACTCATTCCATGTATAACATACTATGTAGCACGGACACGGCTGGGAGGAGGAGGTTTCTCGTTTTGGTAACGGAAACCTCATGACACTTGTACAAAATGTGTCGGGGACATTTCTGTAAATACCCAAAAGTTTTCGGCGCGTTTATGTGAATAAGAAAAATTGGAAATGCATTTCATATTAAAAAAAATCCTAAATTATGTTAAGGTTAAAAGCCCTACCCTTCTTAACAAATCAAAACTAGAAATCTAGACTCCATAGAAGTTGTTCCTCTCTGTAATGAACCGAGACACATAGATGAATCAAAAGTTCTTCCGTTCTTCAATTCGGACATTGAATAAAAAGTCACGTAAAAAATAATATAACCACGCCGAAGGAGCTGTTGAACACAAATAGATGATTCAAAAGCACCAACTTTCATTCGCTTTTGTAATGCCATCTATGGTAAAAAAATGTCATATAAAACTGTAGTTTATATATATTTGTATAGAATTTTAAAAATTAGAAAGACCATTAATTTTTTTGCGAAATGCAATAAAAAATCTAATTTTAATTCGAAATACCAGAAGTCAACTCTTGAATTTTCTTTTTACAAAGGTCGATCTTTCATCTTTGTTCTCCTAATATACGCTTAAAATAGGTTTATCTTTTGTTCCAAGTTTTAATTAATTACAAAGGTGTAATTAATGATTTTATTTCACAAAATGCTAAAGCAATATTTAAATAATATTTTATTGAGGGTTTATGCATAATTTATCATCTTTCATTAGATGTGTTCATTTATATATTCAGATAACACTTCTATCAGATAACACTTCTATCATAAACAATTCTCACAAAGCCCCAAAAGTCTTGCATCAATATTTGACATGTTTTAAAATATCCTTATTTTAATAGATGAGGTGATTGTGAAAAAAATATATAGTAACAATGTATATTTAAATTTAAATAATATAAAAGGAGACTGCCGTGCCACGGTTCGACTATTTTGGACCAGATTTTACAGTATTTGGGTTAAAGAGGTTCTCACTAGACTAAAAAAAATAACCCACAGGACAAATGTACCTAGAAACCAGTTGTAAAAAGGAATAATGGAGAAATACGTAGGAAATTGTTTTAGAGATTTCTAAGATCTCCCTAAAAAACCTCTCCAATATTGTACTGACTTTGACCTACTAGAATGTACCTAGAATAGTTTTTGGGTCACTCCCAACCGTACGATTAAATCAATTCTTACTATGCATTAGGGAGGTTGAAAGTATAAATATGTGAATCATTTCATTTGTAAATCTACCAATTAGACTTATAAATGCTAGAGTAATAGTTAAACGAATAGGTTCGTTACTTAATAAAATATCAACTCTGTGGATCTTTTCATGTTCTATAAAATATGCTTGAAGGTGCACAAATTCTTGTGTAGTTTTGCATGAGTTAGTTAAGAAAAAATGGGTCCCTTGGTCAGAAATGGTGTCGGTGATGTAATAATTGTAAAAGAATATATTGGTGATGAACCATCATCGACATGAGAAACAATTTAACAAGTGCTTAAATATTTTTTAGTTAAAAATAAGGTTATGAAATATTAATATTAATGCTAAAAATATTTCTCAAAGAAAAAAAAAAAGTATTAATAGAACACATACAAAATCTCAATAACTAAAGAGATTGGTATGTTTGTTCTCCGACCATAACAATACAATTAAAGATTGGTATGTAATCTTTGTTATTTGTGGAATTACATTTAACCTTGCCAAATTAACGGATCAACGACAGTTGGTGAAGTATATAAGTTCCCCTAAATTAAAAAATAGAAAAGACAAATAAAAACATAAAAGACAAAAATTAAAAGATGATTGTAGAACTAGATATTTCCTACAAATGTTGAGTTGCATGAATTACTCTTGTCTGTTCCATGTATCCTGTTATGGAATATGCATTGCCATGAGTAAGAATTTTTTAGATAAAATTAGTATATTAATAGCAATACTCAATTTGCAGCAAATTCATATAGCCCAACAATGTCTTTTTTTTTTCTTGCTCTAGTATATTGATTTTAGTGACTTCTAACATGGCTCATTTTCTTCTGTTACAAATAGCATCCAAAAATACATGATCTGCAAAGGTGCATGTTTGTCTAGTATAGGAGCCGACCAACCAGCTGAAGTTGTTGATGACGCCCCAAAACATCTGGTATGGTTGCTATTATTTTTTTTTTCCCGGACAAAAGCACATATAAATCGTTTATGGCTCAACTTGTGTGAAGAATTAGTCATGTATGTCAATATGGACTAGAGTTGTTAGTTTATTTTACCTTTCGGAAACTAAGATACCTTTATTTCAACATGAGTTAACATCCTAAATATATCTCTACAACTTTCTTTTGTAAGATTATCCCATAGACATTGCGATAAGACCAAAGATCTATTATGATATTCTTGACATATTTTGACCTACATGACTTTGGTGATATCTAACTGTGAAACATGGGATTAGGAAATTGATCAATGTAAGATTTGGAGATTGTTTTGAAATAGGAAACGAGTTGTTTGGACTTTTACACACTTTCTTCAATAGAGGTGATAAAAGACAAAAGTCTCTCTAAATTCTCACCGTAAATCTTATAAAGCTCGTACCGATTAGTCACACCTTTTATCTTTTCTAGTACTCCATTTTGGTATATGGATGCACGGTTTTGCTGATTATTTATCTTGTCGGAGAAAGATGAAATCCTCTCCAAGTGTTATTTTTACCCTAAGCGTTCATGACTTTGCTAATCTTATCTTTTGGATTCAACTGCAAGGCACTTCCATACAGCCATGTGGCATAGTTTCAGCAGAAATTAGGTGTTTATCACCTTAAAAGTGTATTTTTTTAATGTTTGCAAGATATGTCAAAGGAGAAAATTAAAATAAATAATTATAAGTTCCATTGTTCTTACTTCGGTTTATTCTATCTAGTTGGGATGCAAATGATTGTTTCTAGACTATAATTCAATATCCATTATCCACTTTTAAGAGGCTTTCAGAAACTCCAAAAATCAAGTGTCAAGTTCTTGTATTCGCACTTTTAAGTGGAAGCCTCGTTCACTCCAAAATTTATTTTCATTTTCATTTTGTTTATTTGCATACTGAGCACTGGAATGACACAGTACTAACACATTTTTCACGATTTAAAGTATATTACTAAATTTTGAAATGCGTGTCAAAACTTCGGAAACTGGACATAAATATGCTCAAGATTTACTTGTTTTCTGCTCTGAATTTTGCCCATGTTGTAACTTGATCAAATTACCTAATCCTCTTTTTGACTTTTGTTTCTTCAAAATGGCCTTGTGCGCATATTCAGAACCCTGGTGCTTGCTTGTACACGAGAACACAATCTGTGCTTTCTTGCGATGGCTCACACACACATACAAAGAGGCTTTGCCCATGTGCATAGATGCTTCACAAGTAAGACTCTCTTCCCAAAGTTACTTGTTTGCTCTAAAGATCGACCATTGGATATAAAACGGGGGCTTTGTTGGTTTTGTTTCGGAATATCTGTTGGGTAAATATTTGAAGAATGTGTAACAACCGAATTATGATCAGTTTTTACTGTAACTGTCGTTCTCTTTTGATTTTTTTTATAGCTAGATGCTTTTATTTGTATAATGATTGATAGATGCATATCTATATTATGAAAGAATTACATGAAATCTTTATTATTGAAGTGAGAAAGAAAAATACACACCGTGAGAATTGTCTAACATATCTGGGGTATAGGAAGTTGAAAATATATATATGTTTGACTTTGTTACTAGGCAATCGACAAAACCAAAGACGGGATCTTATGTCTAGTTCGTGAGCAAGTATTTTACAACAAATTGTATTTTTTTATTTATCATCTTTCTATACTTGGAGAAGGAATGCTTTAGCTCGACAGGCCCCTTAGATGATGTTATCTTACTCTTTGCTTTCGTGGCATACTCATTTTTCATTTACTTCCCTTGTAAAGGTAGCTTAATTAGGTAGTATTGTTTAATTCTTTCTAGAAAAAAAGAGGGTAAGTTACGGTCACCCTGAGGTAAGGTCAAATTACGAAAACCCCCTCTTGTTTTGGTAATTACAACCAACCCCCTCAACTATGAATCTTCTCACACTTCCACGTATGGTGTCAAATTCAACGATATCTTCTAGATTCCGTTGAATGTTTTCTAGTTTGTCCTTGTTTTGTGCAAAAATGCAGTTTCTGATGCACCACAATCTCATATTTACAAGCCAAGAGACACATCTTATGATCATTTTGTTTCAAAATGTGGAGCTCGAATGTGATAAAACGGGTACAAACTGGAGAATATTTCACATAATCTAGAAAATTCCACTAAATTTGACACCTCAATAGTGGATGTCTAAGAAGATTTATGGTTATGGGTTTGGTTGTAATTACCCAAACATGAGGGTTTTTTTGTAATTTGACCTTACCTCGGGGGTGACCGTAATTTACCCAGAAAAAATATATTTTTATGTATGAATGACTTCAATTATGAAGCATCTGTAAAAAAAAAAATACATTCACTAACTTTACGAGTTAATATCGTTAGGCTCCGATAGACACAACGATGTATTCAAATTTCTAAGTCTCTTATCTTATAATTATTTTCGAAAAAATAATTTTGCAGAAGTTAAGTTTTTTCGTCTTGCAAATACCATTGCATTTTAATTAATTATGTAATATGATTATTCCATTCTGAATAAGGAAGCAAAAACTAGGGACAATAGATAGTAAATTAGAGTCCATGCATGAAAATCTGTGTTTGATTCCATATGCAGAAGACAAAGAGAAAGACAAAATGCAAAGAAAAAAGATGATATGATTTAAGATGATAAGAGGAATATATCTCTAACACAAGTATTGGTATATTGTGTTTTCTTCTGCATTTCACACACGTGATAGTGTACCTTGGAATGAAGCATCTTATAGCCTTCACCATAAACAAAATTATACTTGCATACATGTGTATGTATATATATTGGTTTCAGACAAATAATAGAGTTGGAGAATTTTAGACAAATAATAGAGTTGGAAGATGTGAAAATACATAAACATACACCAAGATATTTATGTCGTATATAGGAGCTTATATATAATTATTATTCAAATAAAATGGCTTAGTTCCACCTTGCACTCTCGAAATGTACCAATACTGGCAATTTGCACTTTCGAAAATAATTTATGACAATTTGCACCCTCAAAACATGTTTAATCGTTCGAAATGCACCCTAGTATATTGTCCTGCAATAGTTTTCCGTCGTCGGCTTATTTTATGATCGTCAACATGGTCATTTTTGTCTATTCAATTGTTTTTTACTTCGAGGTGTAAAATGCAAATGTATTTTGGAGCTAAAATGACTTTGTTGACAATCAGAAAATAGGCCAACGATGGAAATTTTGGCCGAAAAAATAAAGTAGGGTGCAATTTCAACGACTAAACATTTTTTGAGGGTGTAAAGTGCCATAAATTATTTTCGAGGGTGCATTAAGCCAAAATTACATTACCCAAATGTGTACTCTTCTTTCTACTAGAAGAGCTTATAAACTCTACAAGCATTTCTTGAAATATTTGAAAGTCTATAACAAGTAGTACGTCCAATTGTTAAAGAAAAAAAAAAAGAAATTTTATAAGTTTAGTTTCTAAGATAAGAACTTAATTAATTCCTAGTTAAATTAGGAACATCACTTGAGGTGAAGTTAAATTACTAAATTCCCCTCTTATTTGTATGATTACATTTAAACGGGGCTAATAATATAAGAATCTCTTATATTACAAGATTTTTTTTTTTAATTTCAATTTTACCCTCATAACTAACATGGCGTACTTGTAAGAATTTTTATTGTTAGGGAGCTAAATGTAATATTCTTACAAAATATAAAATTTAGAGGTCAGGTTGTTTGTTTTCTTAATTGAATTATTCAAGCTTTTATAGCACCAAACTCATCAATGTGCATTGGAAAGTCAAATTCTTTGAATAACAAATAAACCTGACAGCATTAAATAAAGACCATCAAAAGTTTTATTAATTATGTTTAATTGTTTATTAATAATCCATTATCCTACAAATAAATTACTGTTGCAGAATCTTGTCTTCTATATCTTTTACCTCTGCAAGAACATATAATGTACTTATTTCAGCTGTTTCTAAAATCTAAAGTCAAATGATGATGATGTCATTCATATGTTCAAGATGCTTTAAATCTATATTTTATTGGGCAAATTACGGCCACCATTACTAAAACCCCTTCATGTATGAGTAATTACAACCACCCCTCAACCATGTATTATCTTACAGAGGTAAATTTAAGGATGTTAAATCAGTAAAATCAAATCAAAATTTCGGTACGCCAATATTTCATACCATTTACTAAACTGAATATACGATTTAGTTGGGTAAATAACCGAAATACATAAACTTTATGTAAAAATATTTAAGAGGCGGAGTGGCTGTAATTACCCAAACAAGAGGGATGTTTTCGTAATTTGATCATACCTCATGGTTGACAGTAATTTGCCAATATTTCATTACAAGAAAATATTTCTTTTTTCTTTTTTTTTTTCAATAAAAAAAAATTGAAATTACATTATACATATGATCATCATCAACCGTGGTAGCTAGATGAAGCAGAGATAAAAACAAAAACTTATAAACAAATGAAACCAATTACACCAATCTAAACATATAATCTATCTGAATGGTGCTAAAGGATTAGGGCTACGTGGCCCTTTCAAGCTCCTAAGCTCTTTGCACACATTATCCAACATGCTCAAAAAATCTCTCACAATCACAAATATTCGTAGCGGGTTCGATTCCTCTTTGCTCACGTCTCCGTGAAAATACTCCGTAATCTCTCTAACGTGCACCAGCACTCGACCCTCGTCCTCCCTCAGCTCCTTCACCTTCGTCTCCGCGTATTTCAAGAACGTCCTCATCGAAATTACGAAACCGCCCTTATTCTCCTCCACAACCATATCCCTCTCGACGAGATTTTGCAATTTACGCATGTTGTCGGATAAATTCGTCACCGAGGTCGCGAGCACATCCAAATCTATAGTTGCCGTTTTCTTCGCGTTGCATAGCTCGGTGGTTAATCCGGAGACGAGATCCAATCCCATTTTCTTGTAGTACTCGTCTTTGTCTTCGATGTTTATAGTGTTCTTGTTGCTTATTTGATGGATCTTTCCCATTATGCTCTCGGACACTCTTAACCCCTCCGAACGAATGATTTCTTGCACCACGAAATGTAAGAGTGTCGTTTTACCATCCGTGCCCTTCACATCGGCTAGCTTAAGAAGGGCGTCGAGCTTGAAAGCTTTCGCCCCTCCTCTAATCGTGCCGATGTTCATTCGGTTCCCCGTTTTGAGCACTGCCTCGAGTAGTTTTAGGAAGAGTCGGCTCGATCTTAGCTCCTTGCATGCCTCCTAATTACACCAAGGGCATTTTCGTAAATTGCCAATGGAAATATATAGAATTGAAGTGGTATTTTACGAGATGTTTTACTACCTCTAGGATTGCGAACGATTTTGCGAGATGAAGAACCTCGTCTTCGAAAGTTTCCCTATAAAGCATGGCTTCGATTCTTGAAAAGGCAAAGGGTATCTTGAGCATTGCCTTAACTAGTTTCTCGGCGGAGCCCAATTCGAATACGTCTCCTTTGTAGTTTGAAAGCTTGGCTTCTTCATCCTTAGTGGGGACCATTTTCGAGAGTGCTTCTAAGTCTTGTAACGACAAGCCGTCCCCTATTATTATGAAACGATCAACAATGATATGATGGTGAATGAAAAAACGGGATGAATTATTAATTGCCGCGAATTTGAAATTAATTAGTACCTACCTCGGATTAGTGCAACGCATACTTGTTCTGCGGTCACACTCAACGCTTTGGAGAGTATAGTGATGTTGTGCAGTCTCTTGGGCTCGAGTACGTGCTTGCTTGGCGACGGAGTTTTGCTCTTCGATTCGTCGTTTTTCGTATGATTATTTTGGAGATTGTAACCGAATAGGGACTCTATCATTTCCTCATCGAACCTGCAACAAAAAAACATGATCTCAATATTATATTAAACCGAAAGAACTATTATATATGTCGTATATATGTCGTAATAAAAATATCGATTTCTTACTCGAACGAGCTCGACCGCAGCTTGTCCCACACCGTCGAACGGTTCGGTGCAGCTCTAACTTTGTCCCAGTGGAGCGGTTTAAGCTTCGGCAACGGCGACCCGTCTTTCCCAGCGGCATTTGTTGCCGGAGCAGAGAAGGAGGAGGGGGCGGCGGCCCCTCGTTTACAGATTTCGAACGCGGAGGCGGGCATGGCGGCGGAGGAACTCCGGCCACCGGAAAACTACTCTGGGTTAAATTCGGCTTCAAAGAGTTATTACATTTCGTTTTCGACGGAGAAGGGACCGCCGCCGCCGAAGGTGGCGGCGGCGGAGGTGGCGGCGGTGGAGGTGGTGAAATGGGTTTAGAACAATTTGTGAAATCCGAGGTTTCAGCATTGGAAATCCTCAAAGGTGAATTAGAAAAGGAATGAAAAGATTCATCATCATCATCATCATCATCATCATCTTGATCAAGATGATCAACGGTGGAGATTTCAGCAAAGGAAGAGGGGTCTGATTTGATGAGTTTCTTGTTGGACCCTTCTCTCTCATCAACACAACAAATAATTGACGGTGTTTGTTGCAACTCTAAAGCAGATTCCAGTGTGTTCAGGTAAAAAAGATCCGGACCCGGATCCGAACTCACCTTTTTCACCGAGCTCTGTGAATTAGCGGCGGCGGCGGCGGCGAACTTTGATCTGAATACCGAAACACTCCTTCTTCTCGGCCTTCTCCTCTGTTTCTTGAACTTCCGGCAGCCGAAGAAGAGCCCGACGGCGCACAGCGCCGACGTAATCCCGACGGAGGCAAGTACCGCCGTCAACACTCTTGTCTTCCTTTCGTCTTTCTTCTGCACTACTATCCTGTGGGCTTGCGGGAGTGTGTTCTGATGGCGGTGGGCTTGCCGCGGGTGAGCGTGCACCGCCGGAGAATGAGCCGGGGATTTCGCCGGAGACGGCGACGGCGACGGTGGAAGGGAAGTGAAACGCTGACCGCCAGTTCTTGATTTTGCGGGATTATTGAGTCCGAGCAGAAATCTGAAGCTACTGTTACTCAAGTGAGGAATTTGTGTGGCATTTGCAAAGAAAAAGTGGGTCAAGTAGAGAGAGATTGCAAAGAAAAAGAGAATTATGCAAACAAGAAAATAAGAACAATGATGATGATGGCGAGGACCCATTTGTAATTTCTTGAAAGTATCATACAAATTCAATCATGGAGATTTTTTTGGACTATAAATCTAACCCATATATCTTCAGCTTTTACAATAAATAAAAATAAAAATGTAAATAAAAAAAGAGAAGTAGAAGTTAGTTTGAGGAAGGTGAGAGAAAGAAGATGCAGCAGCAATAGTCTTTAATGCTACTCCAAGGAAACCCTGATGAGTTAGTATTGTAGTTGTACTGGAATACTGCTCTTTTTTTTTTTTTTTTTTTTTTAACTTGTCTATTTTATCTCCTCCATTAATTTTCTTTCTGTGTGGAATTACTGTTGATACTATTACTTAGAGCTACATCATCTCTTTTGTACACTTTCCCCTTCTTGACAGTGGGAGTGGGGGTGTGGGTGTTCCTATCTTCATTTTTCTTCCCCTTTTGTTTTAAAGGACTTTTTCTCCGTTTTAATTCGGGTAATTTACGGTCATCCTTCCTTCTGTGGTAATGTTAAATTATGGAAAAAGTTCCTTTTGTTTGGGTAATTAAAGCCACCCCTCAACTATGAATTTCATTATACGTCAATTTTTACGATGTCGAATTTAGTGAAATCTTCTGGATTATGTGGAATATTCTCCAGTTTGTACCTGTTTTACCTAATTCGAGCTCCACATTTTGAAACAAATTGATCATAAGATATGTCTTTGGGCTTGTAAATATAAGATTGTGGTGCATCAGAAAATGTACAATTTTGCACAGAACGAGTACAAACAAGAGAACATTTCATGGAATTTAGAAGATTCTGTTGAATTTGACACCATAAGAATAGGCGTGTAAGAAAATTCATAGATAATAAGGTGGTTGTAATTACTCTAACATGATGAATTTTTTCGTAATTTGATATTAGCTTTATGGTAAGTTGCCCTTTTAATTATTTATGGTTTCACATAATTCTTTTCTTGTTATAAATATTGTTTTTTTCTCTAGGGATTCAATTATATTGAATGATTTCTTTTTATCTAAAGAGAAATAACAACCAATAATTACTATTATGTTCTCTTGATTACTTGGGCGCAGTCCCCAAAGTTATCTTTTTTCAGCTAATAATGAGCCTTTTGAGGAGCTAAAAAAGACTTTTAGACTGCAAAAATGAGATTCATGGGAGTATGTTGCATTTGAGACAAGTTTGTAATAATGTTGCTAAAAGCCATGATTCAATCTAAAAGTGTTGTTATTCATTTAAAAATATATATATCTAAAAGTGTTGTATAATATAGTACCTTATTTTGTGGGGTCCTTAATTTGTTGGGGTTGTGCCCTTAACAATTTTGAGAGAAGGGTGTGTGATAGTGCAAGCCCTCCAACCCCATGATTATTTATTCTAATTATGTGTGTGTGTGTGTGTGTGTGTGTGTGAGAGAGAGAGAGAGAGAGAGAGAGAGAGAGAGAGAGAGAGAGAGAGAGAGAGAGAGAGAGAGTGGTCCATCATCATATCACTTTCTCATGTGATCTTCCCAAAGTTTTTGATTAGTATATGTGGCATACATACTTTTAAGGTAATAACAAAGGTTTTGAGGCTGAATTTGTGTCTCTTTCACAAACCTTTTCCAATTAGAAGAAAGTGAGATGCCATTATTTGTGTAAGGATTTGTTTGTTGAATTGATGTCAAGAATCTAATCACAATTTCAATATCCCGTGTCTCTTGCCAAACTAGATGTGTATGTGTGTGAGAGAGGGAGTGTGTGTATTTGTGTGTGAGAGAGAGAGAGTGTGTGTGTGTGTGTGTGTGTGTGTGTGAGAGAGAGAGAGAGAGAGAGAGAGAGAGAGAGAGAGAGAGAGTGGGACACCGACAAATAGTGACATGTTGCACATTAGCAATGAAGAATTAGGCTTGGCTTAGCCGCTACTTGGAGTGCTCTCATGCAATGCCATCTACCTCAAGCCTCATTTTGCAGCTACATGTGTTGGGTAGAGTACACTATATTAATTATTATTATTATTATGGGGTAATGGCAAATAGGCCCATGACAAGTGCACTTAATTAAAAGAGGGACATCCAACTTTTTTTGTCTTTCAAATAAATTCAGCCCATTCAAACTTATTTGCAAATAAAGAAAATCCTTTTATATATACCAAAATTACCCCAATTCATTGAAATCCAATTTAACTTCAATTTCATGATTTACACCCTAATTTAGCCCAATTTCATCAATTAACCAATTTTAACCCTAATTTCAATTTTTACCCCAATTTTGACCCGCCACCACCGGCCGCCGCCGTTGACCGCCGGAGACCGCCGGTCTCCGGCGTTGATTTTTTTTTTTTATAATAATTTTGATTTTTCTTAAAAAAAATTAATTATTATTACTGTCTTGGCTGCTAAATTACTGTCTCCGGCAGTTATTTAACTGTCGGAGACAGTAATTTAACTATTAATTGACTATTTTTTTTTTCTTCAAAAGTATTTTAATTAATATTATTGTATTTGTTGCTAAATTACTGTCTCCATCAGTTATTTAACTGTCGGAGACAGTAATTTAACTGTTAATTGACTTTTTTATTCTTAAAAAAAATATTTTTAATTAATATTACTGTATTCGTTGCTAAATTACTGTCTCCGGCAGTTATTTAACTGTCGGAGACAGTAATTTAACTGTTAATTGACTTTTTTTCTTTTTTTCCTTAAAAAAAATTATTTTAATTAATATTACTGCCTTGGATGTTAAATTACTGTCTCCAACAGTAATTTAACTGTCTTAGACAATAATATTAATAATATTACTGTTCGGAAAAATAATATTCATAATATTACTGTCCCAAACAGTAATATTACTGTCTGAGACAGTAATTTAGTAGCCAAGACAGTAATATTAATTAAAATATTTTTTTCTAAGAAAAAAAATTCAAAAAAAAAAAAAAAAGTCAACGCCGGAGACCGGCGGTCAACGGTGGTTGACCGGCCGGAAAAGAAATTCAGGGAAAAAAAAAAAAAAAAAAAGTCAACGCTGGAATCCGGCCAGAATCTGGCCGGAAAAAAAACATTTCAGAAAAAAAATTATTTTCTGAAAAAAAAAAGTTTTGGGGGTTAATGTGATATATTTGTTTAAATCCCGGGGTCAATGTGTAATATTAAGGAAGTTAGAGCATTATGAGTGAAATTGATAAGAATTATATTATTGAGGGTATTTTGACTAAAG